CCACGCCAGCTGGTCCAAAACACGGTCCGTACCGTGTCCACTAGGACGCGTGGCGGATAAAATTTTAAATATGTAGAGAATTTACGACGTAGCCTTGCCAGCTCATACAATTATTTCGAGTTGGATTCCAGTGTACAACTTTGTATATTCTACATGAGGCTCTGCATTGGGCACTACACTATGCAAATATTAGCCCCCGGGGCCAAGCCCTTATTTTTGGAATGATTAGTCAGAGGCCGACACCGCCAAAACCTTACAAGGTCAATTCTGCCCGAAACAGGGGGCAAAACATAAGGAGACCAAAAAATAACGAGACAAAAAATAACGAGACACAAAAATACTAACGAGACACTGAAAATCAAAAGGGCAAAGCAATCCCGAGCGGGTCCGGATCCTGGCTCAGGGGGAGGGGAGTAAAGCTTGGCCTAGACACCTTCCCCCTCTCTCTTACCTTTACAATCACAAAAGCCAAACCCTTAAGTTGTTGACCTTAAGGAATTCCAGGTGTCGTGGACTGGTCATGTTATGACTTTGTTTTTTGTGTTCTCCGTCATCAGGAATCTTTCAAACACTCGGAATGTTCATCCATAACTCGGAACACCCCCTGACAACACGCGGGGGGATATCCACCTCTTGACTTGAGGTGTCGAGTATGGTTTGTGTTACATGTGTACATTACACAGAAACATAGTAACATAGTACATATGTAGACACAAATATGCAATTTGAAGCAAATGGAATAGCCCTTGATGTTCTTCAACAACAATCCCCGGGGAATCGACTATCATCGACACTATTTAATTCTTGCATATTATACAGGGGGATCCACCCGGGTCAAGGGCCAAGTGATACGCGAGAACTTGCAATGCTCGTCCTTGGTTCCCCTGTGAGCGTAACTTGCATCTCAGATGACTGGAATGGATGACACGGCCGATCCTATTTGGGTTACGGATCTAGTTATATAGCGCGTAGACCCTGAGTACTCTCTACAACACACCCTCTTTGTGTGTTTCTTTTCTTTTCTTTTTCATTTGAAGGGTTGTTTCTGCTCTACTATAACTATTGGACAGTGCCTATTTTTCAAAGCGACCCTTATAAAATTACCATTCGAAACATCTACGCTAGTTAGCCGAGTCAAATCTGCAACACGATCTTTGTTTCAACTGCAGACTATCACGTTTCAAGCTTCCAACGCGGTCGTCAAGTCTGGGCTTGTGATTGGTGGGGTGTGGTGGACTTCAGGGCTCTGGAGCGTGTGATTGGTTGAAAAGGGGAAGTTTGCAAACGCTTCTTGTTTTGTTAGAGGTATGATTATCATCCCGTATCATTATGTTTGGTCTTGGTCTCTGTCTCTGCCTATTTCCTATTCATTTCCTTCATTCTCTTCATTCCCTTCATATTCATCCTATTCATTCATTTTTTGGAATATTTCATTGTTCTTATCTCTTTTGGGAAGGAAGTCTGCTGGAGATTGACTCTTTAGATCTTCCTCTTCTTCCTACATATCGCTGCTGGTCAAGCGTTGGACTTGATTCTTATTTCGACTGTTGCAGTGCTGGTTGCTGAACTATCCTCATTCCCTAGACATCCTTCTTTTTTTTTTTTTACCTACTTCGCTGCTGGTCCAGCGCTACTCATTGTCAATATGGCCGTTTTACAAACATCCATCGCGATCTTTATCGCCCATATCTTCCTTTTGCTCGGTTTGCCAGCCTCTTTGGTCGCAGCTGTGCCAGTCGCCGTTCCCGTCTCCCCCGTTAACAACGTGTTGGCGACTACTCAAAAGACAACCGCTGCCTCAAGCTACTGGGTCGCCGATGTTAAGCGTCAGGGTGTCGTTCCCTTCGCTAAGAGCCCCGACTACAAGATCTTCCGAAATGTGAAGGACTTTGGTGCCAAGGGTCAGTCATTCATCTAAGCTCTATACCCTCGGACAACATGCTAACTATATCATAGGTGATGGTTCCACTGATGACACTGTCGCTATCAACAAGGCTATTTCTTCGGGAGGCCGATGTGGCAAGGGCTGTGATTCCTCTACCACCACTCCTGCTATCGTCTACTTCCCACCTGGTACCTATGTGGTCTCGAAGCCCATCGTCCAGTACTACTACACCCAGATTGTGGGTGATGCTGTCGAACTGCCCATCATCAAGGCCTCCGCCAAGTTCGCGGGTATGGCAGTGATTGATTCCGATCCCTACGAGGACAACGGCGACAATTGGTTCACCAACCAGAACAACTTCTTCCGCGCCATTCGCAACTTGGTCATTGATCTGACCAGTGTCCCCGCTAGCGCTGGTGCAGGTATCCACTGGCAGGTCGGCCAGGCTACCAGCTTGCAGAACATTCGCTTCGAGATGGTCAAGGGTGGTGGTGACGGCAACAAGCAGCAGGGTATCTTCATGGACAACGGATCGGGTGGCTTCATGTCCGATTTGACTTTCAACGGCGGTAACTACGGCATGTTCCTTGGTAACCAACAGTTCACTACCCGTAACTTGGTCTTCAACGACTGTCAGACTGCCATCTTCATGAACTGGAACTGGGCCTGGACTTTCAAGTCGGTCAAGATCAACAACTGTGAGGTTGGTCTGAATATGTCAACCTCGCCTTCCAACCAGACTGTTGGCTCGGTCTTGATGCTGGACAGCAAGCTCACCAACACCCCCACTGGTATCGTCACTGCTTGGACCCAGAAGAGTATCCCCGTTGGCGGTGGTGATCTCATTTTGGATAACGTGGACTTCTCTGGCTCCAAGGTTGCTGTCGCTGGTGTTGATGGCAACACCATCCTGGAAGGTGGCTCTGTCGTCGACAACTGGGTGCAGGGTAACACCTACACCCCGTCCAAGACTATTAACAAGCGCGCCAGCGCGCCTGAGCCTGAGCTGGTCACCGTTGTCGAGACCGTTACCGAGACTATCCTTGCCTGTTCCGCTTCCTACGGTCGTCCCAGCCCCAGTCTTGCGGGCACTGACGTTCCTGCCCCGGCGAAGACTGCATCACTTGGATCGGCTCCCGCTCCTTCGCCTGCCCCGGTTGCTGGTCCCGGCAGTGATTCTGAGCGCACTTCCAAACCTGATTTCATTCCTCCGACGAACAGTGTCCTCTCTGAGGCTTCCGAAGTGCCGCAACCCACTCCAGCAGCTGCTCCTTCCACCGAGGCCCGTGCGGGGTCTGTTGGTTCTTCGCCCTCTAGCATCGTCTCTGCTAAGCAACCTTCTGTCCCTGTCACCTCTGCTGCTGCGCCTGCTAGAACCACTAGCAGCAGCTCTCAAGTTAGCCAGGCCCCTGAGTCCGGTAGTGATAGCAGAACCCCCACTTGCGGTGCCGCGGCGCCCGTTTCCTCTGCCCGCACCCAGAGCACTCTGAAGACTGCTTCCAAGCCCGCTAGCCTGCTCAAGGGCGGTGCTATCTTCGAACGCTCCAAGCCTCTGTACGAGGACGTCGCAGCTTCTTCTTTCGTTAGCGTCAAGTCTGCTGGTGCCAAGGGTGACGGAACCACTGACGACACTGAGGCCATCCAGAAGATCTTTGACAGCTACAAGGATGGTCAGGTTATCTATTTCGATCACGGTGCCTATGTCATCACCTCGACGATCAAGGTCCCCAAGGATATCAAGATCACTGGTGAGATCTGGCCCATGCTCATGGCCCACGGTAAAAAGTTCGCCGACCAAGAGAACCCCGTTCCTGTCTTCCAGGTCGGCCAAAAGGGTGACACCGGCTCTGTGGAGATGAGCGACCTCATCATTACCACCAAGGGCCCCGCGGCTGGTGCCATCCTCATGGAGTGGAACATTGCTGGCTCTTCCCAAGGTTCCGCCGGTATGTGGGATGTCCACTTCCGCATCGGTGGTGCCGCTGGTACCGAGCTGCAGAGTGACACCTGCCCCAAGACTCCCAAGGAGAAGACCACGCCCAAGAAGGAGTGCATGGCCGCCTTCATGCTTCTGCACGTCACCCAGAAGGGTAGCGTCTACCTCGAGAACACGTGGTTCTGGACTGCGGACCACGAGCTCGACCTCAAGGATCACAACCAGATCAACGTCTACACCGGCCGTGGTGTGCTTATCGAGTCGCAGAACCCCGTTTGGCTGTGGGGTACCTCCTCGGAGCACCACCAGCTGTACAACTACCAAGTCTCCAGCGCTAAGAACGTCTTCATGGGCCTCATCCAAACTGAGACTCCATACTACCAATCCAACCCGACCGCGTTGACCCCATACACCCCGCAAGACTCGTGGAACGACCCCGACTTCTCGAACTGCAAGACAAACTCCTGCCGCAAGGCCTGGGGTCTTCGTGTCCTCGGCTCCTCGGACGTCTTTGTCTACGGCGCCGGTCTCTACAGCTTCTTCGAGAACTACGCCCAGTCCTGTCTTAACTCTGAGGACTGCCAGGAGAACATGGTTGAGGTCGACTGTTCGGATGTCAAGCTGTATGGTCTTAGCACCAAGGCTGCTGTCAACATGGTTACCTCGTCCAGTGGTAAGTCTCTGGTCCCGCAGAAGCCGAATAAGAGTAACTTCTGCTCTACCATCGCGCTCTTTGAACAGTCTGCTTAGATTATTATTCTTTTTTCTGGAATCATTTTTATGATCATCCTTATTTTCATTTTCGTGGGAGTTTTTTTTTTGCTGTAAACAGTATCATATTTCATCTTTTGTATTCCCCAACCATTGTATGAGATTCAATCTCAATTTTATCTTTACTGTTCGCTCTAGACTGTTCTTTTTTAGGGGTCTGTGTGGACAGTTGAATACCTATTTACTACGCAAGGTGGAGGAACTTCGACATGTCTCATCACTTGGATAACTAGAGTGTCCATATCTCTGTCGATACTCACAGAGCTAGATTTGGCCATTTACCTCATACTATCACTTGGCACATTTCTCATATACAATCTAGAGTTTCCAAAGACATATCATGAAAGTACATCAATTAGACAAACCCCCAAGAAAACAACAGAAAAAAGCACCGACGCTGCAACCACCCTACTCGTCCTCCCCTTCATCGCAGGCCCTCTTTTCAGAGACGCAGGTAGAGATATTGGCACCAGGAGCCGAACGGCACTTGTTAAAGGCGTCTTGACAACCATCCTCATCGGAGACCGAGCGCTCTGCAGGGGAATTGATCTGGCCATGGCGACAGGCTTCCCTGTCAGAGAAACATGTTGAGAGGTTTGCGTCTGGGGTGGTGACGCATTTGTTATAAGCGTCGTCGCAGGTGGAGGCTGCGTTAATCGCGGTGATGCTGGTTGCCAGGGTGAGGGTGAGGGTTAGGGTGAGGAGGGATTTTAGGTGGAGCATTGCGGTTGGTTTGGTTTGGAATGGGGCTTGGTGGGGTTGTATGGTTGTATGGTAGGTAGTATGGTGAAGATGGGAATGCTTGAGATGATGCTCGGGAGTCTGGGGTATGGCGTGATGTGTGGTTTTTATAGACTGTAGTTGTTGGGCTGACAAGGGGTATGGTGCATTGCAGTTATTGGATGTATGATGTACAATGCTGTACGCCGTGCTGATCATTTCCCACTCGGCAAGTTGAGTATGCATTGGGTAGGACGAATAATGGGAAATTGATTTATGCTGTTAGGGGAAATTCGATATGGAGTATGCATGATGTCTTGTATTGTGAGTGGATCGTGAAGAGGAACCTGCAATATATGCGAGAGATTTGATATCATAGTGTGCAACAACCGGGACTGCTAGTCTCTACCTGTAGGTTGTCCAATAGTCTCGAATGATTTAATATTTACATTACAGTGTTTCCTTCTTTTGTATTGGAGTTCTAGCTAATCTTGGATGAACTTGCTTGGTTTCACCATAAGGGTTATTCGTCCTGAACGCCCCGCAAAGGTGCAATGTTCAGGTGCTGCACGCAGGACCCGTGCTGGGTTGGAAGAGAGAGAAATAGAGGGGAGGGGGTATTTGTATTTACTGGCTGAGGGCAATGGGGGGAACTGGGTTGGGTGACGAGTTGCCAAAATGGAAGGATTTATCCATTCCACGAAAGAACATTGTATTGAAACAAGAAACAGTCAGATAACGCTCTCGTTTCCCAAATAAAATATAATAGAAAATTAGAATTGTGGTGGATTTGAGAGCCAAAGCATTCCAAAATGAAAAAGCCAATCCAAATTATATCTAGAGCTCCTTTTTCAGGGAATGCTCAGGCTTGTGGGTGGTCTCGTAGTCAACATGCACATAGGCACGCTCAACATCGGGAAGCGACTCGAGCTTAATCTGGAGCTCCTCGGCGACATCGTGGGTGGCACGCAGAGATGCCTCTGCGTCCATGACGACATCCACCTCGACGAGGAGACGGGGGCCAGATGTGTACGCACGGACGGTATCAATGGCAGTGATGACAGGAGAGTGGGTCATGGCTGATAGGAATGTTAGTAAACTGGTTTTTATCAGGAGTCCAAAAGAACCGAAAGGGAATGAACATACAGATGTAAGTGATGAGCTGCTGCATCTTAGTGTCGGCAGTAACACCAACGAGCAACTGGAACTCGCCATAGGCGGAGTGCATCCACAGCGCACTGACCAGCACGGACAGGATAATAGCACCCATAGGATCAATCCACCAACGCAGCTTACTGCCACCGACGGAGGTCAGAATACCGAACCCGTTGATGAACAGATCATTTCGGTGATCCTCCCATAGAATGCGGATCTGAGAAACCTGGTTGCGCAGGGCCCAGCAGTACAGGAAAAGGACAAATTTCGTGGCAAAGGCGACGGCGACAGCGATGACGGAGGGAAGGTGGAAAGACTGGGTTTCTTCCTCGGAGCCAGTTATCAGTTCGCGAATAGAGAAAGCGATGATGATGAAAGAGACAGCTGTCATAAGGAAGCAGAAGCAGATATTTCCAGCTGTTTCAATGCGGGCCTTCCCAGCCGGGAACTTGCGTGGGTCAACACGGTTGACAGCCTTGTTACACAGCAGGAGGGTCAGGTTGGACATGGGGTCGAAGACGGCGTCGGCCATGGTGGTGAACAGAGAGAGCGATCCGGATGACACGGCACCGTATACCTGGATGACTGAGAGAATGATATTCGCGGCAAAACTACCGTAAACAGCGATCCGGTACTTGAGACGGTTGTCGACGCTCAATTCGCGGGCGGCACGCCGGTGCTCCTCGACGGGTTTCAGCATGCGCTCAATGTTTTCATTTTGAGACTCGTAGAATCCCTGTAGCTTCTTGGTGACAAAGGCCTGCTTTCCAAGATGGGCAGTGTCTTTCACTATGGAAGCCACTTTCCGGCTTTTGCTTGTGGTGGTGGAATCCCGTTTCCGCGAAGTATTGGCTTTCATCTGCCGGATCTCATCCTCGGTCTTCAGTTTTGAGGCAAGTTGGAATGGGTCGCTTTCAGGGGTATAACGTGGCGGGGGTTGACCTTCTTCATCGCTTGAACTGCCACTACGGTGTTGTTGCATGGTGGTGAGCTCGTGCTCTAGGGCGGTTGTGGTCCCCTCGTTGATGGAAAGTGGAGCCATTCTGTCGGTCCGGTGCGGTGAATTGCTATGACTGTGATGCAAGCTCTGGAAGGCATGAGGGTGGTTGGAAAGACTGTGACGCAAATGTTCCTCCATGATGAATGAGATGAATGGGCTGGATTGGGTGAATGGGATGAAAGAAACGCTTGATGTAAGGAGAGAGAAATAAATTCCTTGGACTTGTGGCTGTGCAAGGTTTATCTTATCGAGATGATCTTGCTCCACTTTAGCTCCTTGGCACAGTACTTTTCATGTACAACATACAACATCCCAACATCCACAAAGTACATACATTACTGTTGCAGATATTTGGGATATTATCATTGGATATTCAATAGTACCTGAATAAGGCATGCTAATAGCGTTGAATATTATGCTATTGGCTCACGTGACAACTTGGATACTCAATGTTGTTATCATGGACAGGAGACACGAGGAATCATAACTCTGCCTGCAAAGGCTGGTATCTCTTTGCCTTGAGCCTATGTAGAATTTAGTGTGGCCGAGTTACGGCAAGATGTTGATATTCTTTCCTTCTGGAGTACAGCTAAATAGATATACCATTTATATTTTCTATTTTCTAGTGAGACGACGGTCGTTGTCTAGCATTTCTTCTGCTTCATTCAAATCGGTTACTTATCATGATGTATGTCCTAGTACAGTACTAGAAGATCTGATGGCGCAGGACCAGTACGGAGCCAGAGCCAGAAGAGCTCATAATGTCCACTATACAGTTTCTTTGAGCGCGACAGCTTAAAGTGTAACCCCTTTGAATATGTAATGGGATGAAATCGTCGAGGCAACTTGAGCCAACGCAACGCAGCAGCACCGGGTATGAATGGCAAACACTCACCTTTCCTCCTCTTCTTCCTCCTCCTTCTCTCTTCGTCAAGCATCATCTCTCATCTCTCATCTCTCATCTCTCATCTCTCATCTCTCATCTCTCATCTCTCATCTCTCATCTTCGTCAAACATCTCTCATATTTCTACTTCCAGCTCATTCTTACGCAACTACATTTCATTTCATCTTATCAAAATGGCAAAAGAACAAACCATCTCAAAGAAAGCCACTAAGCCCGTCAAGGCGGGGATCGTAAAGCGCACCCCGGCCAAGGCCAAAGTTTCCCTCGCCAAAGTCCCACACTCTACCATCCACCGGGACCTGGTGTTCCTGTGGAAATGCGTCAAGATGTCCACTGGGATGAAGGTAAGTGTTTCTAAGTTGTCTTCACATGCCTAATCGAACACATTATGGCACACATTATGATGGCACACCACCCGAAAGCATGTCATTGACTAACTGGGCTATCTTACAGATCGACTGGCCTGCGGTCGCTAAGGATGCTGGAAAGCCCGTGGGCACTGTCAAGAAACAGTGGTCACGTCTGAACATCAAAATGGGGAAGAGCGTCCCTTTCGATACCAGCGACTCCGACAAGGACGCAGACAAGGGCGCCAACAAGGATGCCAACAAGAAAGCCGACAAAGACGCAGACGAGGACGCCAACCTCGACGACAACATTGATGAGGAGTAGATGAAACACGATTTCGGTGGCAACGCACGGAATGCGACAGTGAAGACAGCCACCTGTTCCCTGTTCTCTTGATTTCTACTGGTTTCACGTGAATTTGTTCTTGTATTTCTTTTACTCAATGTAAGAATATTGGGTTGCACTCAAATATGTGCCATCAAGTAATCTTGTGCTCGTAAGAACAGCATCTCTGCGGAGATGCCTGTGACGCTCAACGGTTTCTTTCTCTCAATCCAATGAAACAAATTTCAAAAAGCCCTTTGAAATATTGATCCCACTAAGAAAAATGTTAATAAATCCTAAGCAGGAAACAAAGGTTTGAACGGTTCCTCAAGTGATGTTGAAATTGTCGAGGTATAATCAGAACTATATGGGGACCAATGAATCTAACACCAAACCTTGTACAATCCTTGTACAATATGTCCAATCCTTGTTCAATGCATGTCCAACTGTGTTCTACCAACTTGTACAATATGTCCAATCCATGTTCAACGTATTCAATGTCTGTCCAACTTGTATAATATAACTCTAAGATGACCTCATTCCTGCATGACCCCAGATCCGAGCCCCTCATTAAATACCCCGCCCACTTCCAGCTCATCCGTCTCCTTTTGTACTTCCCATCTTACCTCAAATTCGTCTATTTCCACTATTTCAATCATGTCCAACCCATACTTTGATATTGAATACACTTCAGCTGGCGGCCAGGGTAAGCCCACTCTCTCATCTCAATCCAGCGAGACTAACACCAAGCAGTGGACAACTGGGGTCGCATCGAGTTCAAACTCTATGACGACGTCGTCCCCAAGACCGCAACTAACTTCCGCGCTCTCGCAACAGGCGAAAAGGGCTTCGGCTATTCCGGCTCTGCTTTCCACCGTGTGATTGCCGGGTTCATGGCCCAGGGTGGTGACTTTACACGCGGCAATGTCAGTAGCGGGATCACGGCGAAATCCGAGCTTCCGGCTAATTTCTATTCTCTCTTTTAGGGCACGGGCGGCAAGTCTATCTACGGCGAGAAGTTTGAGGATGAGAACTTCCAGACCAAACATACTAAGGGTGGATTGCTGTCGATGGCAAATGCTGGACCCAACACCAATGGTTCTCAGTTCTTCATTACTGTCAGTCGAAGCTATGCCAAAATTAGGTTGGAGACGGGTTGTGCTGACTGAATTAGTTTGTGAAAACTCCTCACTTGGATGGCAAGCACGTTGTCTTTGGAGAGGTTGTTTCCGGTCAGGATATTCTCCAGAAGATGGAGAGTAAGAGCTTGGATCGGTCTGGAAAGACTGATGGTACCATTAAGATTGCTGCTTCGGGAACAGTCTAGGCTATCTGAGGAACCATTCGAGGATCTCTCCTATCTAAACAGCTTACTGGGTAGCAATGTGGATGTGAATTCGTTCACTCTCGAATAGATCCATGCGTCCCATGTTTTTCCATCTCTAGACTACTATCAAGTTACGTAGAATAAACACCGAATGTCCCGGAGCAAATACTTTTGCCATATACTGTACGACATTACAAAACAATCAGTAGCAAAATGCTATACATACACAAGTAAACCTCCAACCCAATAATTTCACAGTAACCACAAAACAACCGCAGAAACTCCAATCAAATCACTTCACAGCAACCATAAACAACCGCGGATACTTCAACAACACCCTCCCATCAACCGAAACCGGATAGGCACCCTGCAACCGCCTCAAATAATCCTTCAAGAAAACCTTCTTCTCCTCATCCTCTAACAAATCCAAAAACGGCCTCAACCCAGTCCCCTTAACCCACTCAATAACCGCCTCATGACTCTCCAACGCATGATAATAACTCGTCTCGAAAACATGAACGTGACTACAAAACGGTTTCACCAGATCATACAGTTCCTGCGGCGACTGGAACCCATCACGCTGCACACCAGCGAGTTTCCCCGCCCACGGACCGGCAACGGCAGTTTCCTGCATGAGAGCATGCGAAGGCTCGTCCAGATTGTACGGGACCTGGAGCGCGAACACAGCGCCCTTTTCCTGGGGTTGCAGGAGGCGTTTGATGATCGCAATGCGCTCGTCGGCTTTCAGCCACTGGAACACTGCGTTCGAGAAGAAGAGGTCGACGGGCTTGGCTGGGTCCGGTGTGTAGGTTGATAGGTCCTCGACGTGGAAGTCTCGGTCTGGGAGGACTTGTTTGGCGCGGTTGATCATGTCCGGTGATGAGTCTAGACCCGTTATTGTTGCTGATGGGTATGTTGTTGCTAGGACTGTTGTTGAGTTCGCTGGGCCGCAGCCTAGGTCGATTATTCTCTTTGGGGCTATTAGGGGTACGTGCGATAGGAGATCGCGGGCGGGCTGGGTGCGTTCATTTTCGAATTTGAGGTATTGGTTTGCGTTCCAGTCTTTTGCTTGGGACATTGTTGTTGTGAAGTTTCTGTGGACTGGTGTTGAGATTCGGATTGGGATTCTTGCGGAGTGGGCGAATAATCTAGTTGCTGTGGGGTTCAGGCGAGAGTACATCGTTTTGATGATTTGAAATACTAGAACATGCTTGGCTGGATGGGAAATGCTTGTTTTTATATGATATCCATTCATGTTACATTTGACGAGGTGAGCTCAGGAAGTGGCGATATCGGATGTTTCGGTAATTCCTCCGATATCGCTATCAACAACGTTGCAATGGAATCCAGGACAATGAATGAGTCAAGCATTGTAAATTTTGACATTTAATTACCGATATATCTAACTACTAACTGACGTAGAAGGTACAGGTGGATATCCAATGCTAAACATGATGTGCTTCCGACATTATGCTGTCCACTTTTTAGTGGGCCGTTCCTCGCGCCTCCGCAATTTAGTTACCCACCAGGTTACCGAACAAGGCCTGGAGCCAGGACAGGACATCTGAAGCACTGCCAGTGTTGAAAGGCAGGGCCGATGCGCTAGCGGAGGGCTCAGCGCTGGAGGTAGGGGCTTGCGCCGCGGCAGAAGTAGCCGATGGGCGGGCAGTGGTGGCAAAAGTGGTAGCTTGAGCAGCAACCGTGGAGGAAGAAGGCTCAGCAGCAGCGGTTGTGGAGGCAGCGGTGGTAGGAGTTTGAACAGCGCCAGATGGAGTGGTAGTCATCGCGATCTCTGAAGCGCTGGAGGCCGACGACGCAACGGGAGCCGAGCCAGATCCACCGACAGTGAAATCGACACATGACTCGTAGGTCTGGTCGATGGATTCGGCGTACCAGTACCACTGCAACACACAGTCACCGGCGGTAGCACACTGGCTTCCGAGATCATCGGGGATGGTGACGCTGAAGTCAGTCTCATCCGCCTTGACACCGCTGGCGGTGGATGCATAGACATCCCAGGAGATCAGCGGGGCGCCAATGACCTTGTTGGAAGAAGTGGCCACGACGGAGACATTAGCGACACCGGTGTGGGGGGCGCGGATGTCGACGGTGAAGGGGACCTTCTGTCCTGCCTTGTAAGACTGGACGTTGTCCTTGTTATCGGCAAACTTGTAGCCCTTGCAAAGCCAAATATCACACTCGGCTTCTTTGTAATCATCCTGGCCGGAGGCCACTTGCAGCTCGCCTTGGACGTTGCCGTACTTGTCGGAGCCTTGGTTGGACATGACTTGCTGGCCACAGGCGTCTCCCATTGCGGTACCGGGCTGGCGAGCCTCGGGCTTAGTGACGAAGCCATGGGCGTTGACCAAGGAAATGATGCTGGCGAAAGCCAGAGCGGGGGTGAAGTTCTTCATGTTTGACGAGTTGGTATGTCGGGGGAAGTGAAAAGAAATGATCGGTAAACCGGACCGATGAGTGAATGTATAGTTGGTGAACGAAAAGTCTACTCGGTCTCAAACCGGAGAAAAATGAATGTGAAGATGAATGAGAATTCAAAAAGTCTGACCAGCATGCTAAACTGGCCTGGAGTCGGGCTGGTAGGCCACTGCTTATATATTTTGTGTTAGGCATGTTCAAAAGGACATTAATCAACTGCAAACAGTAGCTTGGGAATTATCAGAGACATCTCGAACAGCGGATAGAGCCAAAATGCACCTATCACACTTGAAACACATCGGATATGGCCAAGGGACAACGCTCCCCCCACCAGGAGGGGGACCAGTGAGACTGGTGATAAATGTCAATCACATCATATCGGGACAAAGTGGTCTCCGGTGCATATTGAACTAGACTGGATGAATCGTCTCGGGACGAGGCCGATGTACCTGAGGCTAGGGTTGCCAAGCCTCCACGCGCCGAACAGGGATGCTCCGAGTTTCACGTTAATGGGACCTGCCAAGGAGGGGCTGGCTGGTGAGACATGGACTTGATGGGCGCTTTACTTTGATTAAGAACGTGGAGATGGTAGAATAAACTGACTTGACAGCCCTACTCGGACATTTATTCAATTTCATTCCAGGGTGAACCTGGCTCTTAGGTAGTCCACTTGGTGCTAGTCCACTTGGTGCTTGAAAATACAAATTAAATCTTATGAAACTAACTAAATGTTTCTTGGGCTATCAAGGGTTTCACACTAAAATCCAATAAAGATGAACGAGAAAGTCCGTTGACCTGGGATAATCGTCTCAAATACTCCGTGGATACGGAGCATTCCATAAGGAGTAGAAATGATCGAGTTATGCATCGTTATGTCTACTTTCCAAGGTTATTAAATATCAATTCAAGCATATTAGCAATCATAATGATACATTGTGATATAGATCGGGGTTATAAGAGGGTGTGAGTGTGTGGGTGTGTGAAATATTCCCATTCAGTGCGACCTCGGCCTTATGAATATGAGACAGAGCCTCCAGCGCATACTTATATTAGTCTGGACTAGCTAACCATGTGGACTCATTCCTTGGCTTTGATTAGTATAATTCATTCTTGATAGTACAATATCACATGCCAATCACCTTTGCCGCGCAACCTTTTCCCAACATTAGACAGCATATCTTGTATATTGTATGTTATACTCCTATACAAGGCCGTAATAAAGCAATGGATAATATTCTAATATGAGTTAAGCAACTACAATCATTCACATTGACTAGACAATCTTGGTCGCAATGATGTGTTTCAGGCAAACAACATTGGATGTATCTACTCAAGATCAGCCTTCTACAACATAGGAATTCAGCGACAGATCAAAAACAATCTTCCCCCTCGCATGCCCTCCATCCAATCTCTTGAATACCTCTTCGTACTTCTCAAGAGGCCAAACACTATCCACCAATCCCTGACACAATCCCTTCTCAACCAACTTCGAAATCTCCTCTAACTGTCTCCTCACAGGCTGCATGACAAAGAACAAATCCTTCACACATTCGCCCTCAAAGTCATCCGGACGGACCTGCAAAGGCGGCTGGTAGATACTCAGCACCACACCCCCATCCTTAACAGTCCACCACGCATCCCCAAGAGCCTCCCTCCCAGCACAATCAATAACAACATCCACCTTATTAGAAGGCGACTGCGCAACCCACTCCTTCAAATCCACAACCCGGTAATCAAGCACCTCCTTCGCACCAAGCGACTTCACAAGCTCCACATTCCGAGAACCACACGTCGCCACGACCTCCGCACCAAGCAACGTCGCCAACTGCACAAGCCAAATCCCCACACCACCCGAAGCAGCGGTAACAAGAACTCCCTTCCCCACCCAAACAACCTTGGCAGCCTCCAGATCCATCTCTCGCTCACTTCCTTGGGTACCAAGGGCATGAACAAAAAGAACCTGCCAAGCCGTCTGCGCAGAGACAGGAATCGCAGCAGCCTGGACCCAGCTTAGACTCTTTGGTTTGTGTGTCAGCTCATCTGTCACCGCGATGGAATACTCGCGTGCATTTCCTGGTCGGATATAGTTTGTGTGCGCGTATACTTCATCGCCGGGTTGGAAGGGCGAGTCTTGGGGTGCTGAGATGACGACTCCTGCCATGTCCGGGCATGGGATTAGAGTGCGTTCGGTTGGTGGGGGAAGTTCTTTGGCCAGAGGAGTTCACCGGCACAGGGACTGCAGGCTTTTATTTGGATTAGGTGTTCTCCCTGTGTGTGGTTTGGAGGTGGGAGAGGGGTGGTTGTTATGAGGAAGCGATTTGTTGGATGATGCTGTGCATTTTGGAAGGGAGGGGGTTGACATGTTTGGGATTTGTAGATATAGTTAGATATGTTTGTTTGCGAGGAAATGGATTAGCATTAGTTATTTTTGTTGGGTCAGGTTAGTTATATAGTTCGGGTGTCAAGGCATTAACCCCCGTGGCCGGGTTCCCGTATAGCCTATTTGATAGCCTATCTTCCCCGCACATACAAGTAGGTACATTCCCCAAGTGTACACTCGTTTAATTCATCACTACCCTAAATGTTACAAGTTGTATCTGATTTCTCGTGTTGGAAATCAAAAACTACGAATCATAAATCCATGCTCGAAGAAGGTCATGGCATCTCTCCCGAGGTCTTTTGTTGACAAGCTTATAAAACAAATAAACTACCTAGGTAGGAAACTTATAAAGCGATAACTAGTTAACTAGGTATTATATATGTAAGCACTGAAATAGTCCCAATCAATAAGGTTTGATGATATCCCTGTTCGAGCGAGTACAAATTTATGAAGAATTTTAGCCCAACATATCTGACATTTCCTCACAACTTCCTGAGACTTCCTGTTGGTCGGACAATCGTACTTTTGTTGAATTCACATGCAAGCCACTTAACTGACAGCCAATCCCTGAACTCCTCTCGATCGGAAAAGGTTTCCACCCCACAATTCCACATATCAAGTCGTCTTCAAGCCTATGACAAGCCAAAAAAAAGGGCAAAAGGGTTTCGATGTCAATTCCTATTGTGGCCTTTGACATGAGAGCGGGGTCGTACGACAGGGTTGGGATATATTTTGATTCTTCACTTTGAAATCTTCCTTGCTTTTTTACTGTGAATCTCTAATCGTTTCTACAATGGATAAAAAGACACGTACTGAGTCCGAGGATAAGATTGCCGTGGTATGTGTTTACTCAATTCTTCATTATTATCTATCTTTCTAACTATTTTTCTAACAAATATTAGGATTCCACGACCCATGTCCCGACCGTTTACAGCGATGACTGGCAATCGTAAATATTAATCTCTTTGTCTATGTTGTATATGAACTAATCTCACACAATCGCAGGGAAACTACTTCGATCGGCTCCTCCCTTTATCGAGGACTAGAGGAGAATGGCCGACGATATCAAACTCTGAGCCACAAAGAATATCTGTACGTGGGTTTCCGAATCGAAGTATTCTTTGCTGATTCCCTATTAGGATTCCATCGGATGAGAAACAGTTCGAAACATACGAAGCTGGGTAAGCGCAATTCTCTTATATACAGTCTTTTTTTTTTTTTTTTCAAATAATAACTAACAATATTGCAGCCACCTGGTAGCCCTCGTCATGGACTCAGACCACGACAACCCCCTTTTCCGTGCCCCTGTTAAAGATCCCAAACATATCCTCGACCTTGGAACAGGTCTGGGTAACTGGGCCATGTACGTGGAAAGAAGAAAAAATCAACACCTTCCATATTCACAAAGAACCACCACTCACCCTCTTCTAGTGATGTAGCCGACATGTTCCCAACAAGTAAGTCCAGAATTCCAATACAATTCACCCTGCACTCATAGTATATATCAACATATTAACCAAAACCCAGCCACCGTCCGCGGAGTCGATCTCTTCCCACCACCAGTAACATGGATGCCGCCAAACTGCATCCTAGAGGTCGACAACATCACCGAAGAATGGACTTGGAACGAACCCCAAGACCTAATCCACATGCGCATCATGATCGGAGCCTTCGACGACGCAGAATGGACACGCCTCTACCAGCAATGCTACGAGTAAGCCACCACCATTCCCTCCTCTTTCATTTCTCTTTCATTTCTCCTTCCCCATTCCAACCATCTAACCAAAAAAACCCCACAACAGCAACATCCGCCCAGGTGGCTGGATCGAACAACTAGAAGCAAGCCCCTACATCGAATGCGACGACAACAGCCTACCAGCAGACAACATCCTGCACAGCTGGGGCCCGGCTCTGTCAGCATGCGGCAAGCGAGCCGGCCGACCACTAGAAACAATCGACATGATGCAAGACGCGTTCCGCAAGGCTGGGTTTGTGGATATCTGTGAAAAAGAATACAAATGGCCCATCGGGCCCTGGGCTCGTGATCAGAAATATAAAGAGGCCGGCACGGTTAATTACCAGCATTGGATGTCTGGTATGGAGGGCTGGGCTATGTGGTTGCTTTGTAAATTCGGGGCGCCGGAGCCGTGGTCGCATGATGAGGTTATTGTTTATGTTGCGAAGCTCAGGGCGGAGCTGAACAATCCCAGATATCATACTTATGAGCGCGCGTATGTATTTTTCTTTTTTCTTTCTTTCCTTTGCGGAGTTTGTGGTGTGGGTTTGGCTGACTTTTATGCAGACGACGTGTGTGGGGGAGGAAGCCTTTCCCTGAGGAGATTGCGGAGAGGGAGAGGAATGAGGCTAATAAGAGTACTCCTATTAAGGTTGAGGAGTGAATCTTGGACAGATGGTATAGTTTTGTTGGCGAGACTGGTTCACGGAGGGTATAAGAACCGCATGTATTTACCTGAAGGTATATGGAAACGACGGTGCACACTCGCTCTATTATGGATAAAAGCAGGCTGCTAAAACATTCGTAGTAAAAAGCGAATGAATATGTGTGTGGTAACAATGTGCGAGGTATCATAGAGGCCAAAAAGTAAAGAAGATGGCAAAAGAAAATGGCAAAAGCTATGCGGTTGCAAAAATAGACAAAACCACAACCAGAACTTGAAAGTAACCAAAAAGAGTCCAAACGCTGGACGATTAAAAAAAAAAAAGACGTGCTACTGGCGACCACCAATTGATCTTGATCCCTGCATGACGCTAGCGCTCCTGCTCAGTGGACTGGAAGCGCACGCGATCACTCTGAGGCTGCGAATTACCATGCACCTGATTCCTCTCATTCGAGTCATTCGTAGCATAGTCATCAGCAAAAGGATTCCGCACCTGGAAATCCTCGGCGTTATATTCATATCGACCGGTAGTCGCAGATCCGGAGATAGGATGGGAATCAAGTGGACGGCCACTAGTCATGGTCGGAGAAGGCAGTTGTGTCGCAACGGGTGCAGCGGCTTCAGGACTCCGTGTTTCAGTGCGAGGCGGCGCCGTTGGTGGAGGAAAGAAATTCGTAGCGGCTGGTGCAACAACCTGCGAGGTCGGTGAGGGACTATTCAGATTAGACGAGGTCGGCGACGAAGATCCTCTGATCTTGCGTGCCTTCAACATAGCACGCTGTTGCTGCGACAGCGCGACGGAGATCTCGTCGTTCGTCTCAATAAGCGTCAATAGAGTATCCTCGTCCGGAGCCGGGTTGGTCGTTTGAATATACCCTTGAATCATTCGCGAAGCCGTCCCGCAGCGGTCAACGAACTCCTTGATGAGATCGTTGCCTTCCAGCTCTACCGGCGGCGTCGACTGGACGAACTGCGTTAGCAGCTTTGCCGAATTGCGCGCTTCCTCGATTCGGGCTACTAGTTCCACCGGGCCGGGGAGGGTATTTCCCGACGCGCGGGGCTGTCTGTATGGCTGCTGCTGGTGACCCTGAGGCCTGGTGGGGACTTGCGGCGGTATGATGGAATTCATTGGGAAACGGTCGATCTGGATCGGTTAGAGTCTTGGACGGCGCGGAGAGGGGCTACGATGTGCTCACCAAACCGCGCGAGGCTTTCGTCTTCTCCTTCGCCCACATCTGCAGCAGCAGTTTGAGATCTTCGTCCCATCCGCGCTGTTGCTCGAGGGTATCCAGATATTGGCGGAGAGAGCTCTGCACGTGCCAGTCACGTCCTGTGCGGAGTAGCTCTTTAACGGTCGTCACGAATTTGGCGTCGAAGTTGCGGGAGAAGGTGTGGCCTGGGTTGTCGACCAGGATGCGCATGAGCATGATCGCATTGTACTGGGTTTGGTTTGTGTTGCCGGCTGGATCGGAGAGATACTTGCGAATGCGCAAAGCTGCTTCCTTGGCAGCATTGGGGCTTGATTCGGCGGCTTCGACAATTTTGGGGAGGTGGACGAATTCGTTTCCTTGCTGGAGTGCACAGGCGAATGTCAGTGTTGGAAAGGGGTTGTTGGGGTCATCTCCGAGGCACATACCACGTCGCGCGAAGAGCCATTCGCATTCTCATTTACATGCGATTCGCAGAAGGCAGTCTGGAGAAGGTGTCAGTATGTCTTATTCGATCGCTCGAAATAAGCACAAACCAGCTCTTTCAGGACAATGGCTTCTGGTGAGTCTTCACGAGGTTCGACACTGTCACTGGAGCCTATGATCAGGTACAAGTCAGCGAGTTTGCGGGGAGACGTGGAGACGGTGAGACACTCACTTGAGCGTCTGCTCAGTGATCCTAGGAAGCGCTTCATGGTGATCGCACAGTCTCTTGTTTTTCAGGGGAAATTCTGAAAAGAAAAAAAAAAAAAGGTTTGGATTGTCAAAGAATAATACTAGCCGGGGGGCCAACTGCCGGCGTCGAACTAGTTTGCAGATGAACTAGCAATAGGTGCCCTCACTAAGAAGTCAAGAAAATAGGACGAGATGTATAGATATATAGATATAATAATATATAACTTCAATATCTGCGGTCAAAGCCACATTCCACGCACGCATCCAAGTTATTCTGAATTGCCAAGCTGAAGACCAGGCTCCAGGCAATACTGTCCAATTAGTCTCAGCCAGGGATGCCCCAGGTGTTTCTTTATTCCTGACTCAGCCACGTGTAATGGTAGACAGTACATAATTTCAATATTCCTTCACACTATATTTATAAGTACCAAGTACTTGACACTTCGTTGTACGTACTCCTCAGATATCGAAACGCCACACCCCTCTACCTACCCCTCTACTGTCTTTCAACAGCATCAGCCATTTCCCCCAAAGTCTCAAACCGCCAATCAAAAATGGGTTCCCCAGTATTCCCCATCAAAGCACCACGTCTTTCAATCCAAACAGACTTAATACCAACCTTCCTAGCAGGTTGATGATCATGGAACTGACTCTGCGCCGTCTGTAGCACCTGTTCAGACTCCACCCCAAACTCACGCTGCACAGCACTCAACATGTACTCGAAGTTCCGTGGATCGGGCTTATAACTGCCAATATCCTGCGCGGTAAGAATCATATCAAAAGATACGCCCTGTAAGCTACCGGCATTGGACTTGGCGAATGAACCCCGGTCCACGTTCGACAGGACCACCAGCTTGTAGTGCTTTGATAGCCGACGTAGGGCGTCGACTGTGTCTGGGAAGGCTGGCCATGTCCCGACGGAGTTGCCGAATTCGCGGCTTTCTTCCTCCGTTGGCGGGTTGAGGCCTAGACGCGCGGCGAGAGTGGGGTGGATTGCTGATAGTAGGTCTGAGTATGGGAGGTCCGGGGTTGCGGTTTGTTGGGTGCTTTCGAGGTTGTGGTAGGTTGTTAAGAGGTGCTCTCGGGTGAATTGGGTGGTACTTTTTGAAAGGATTGGTTCTAGTGCGGCGATGATGCCGCTTTCCCAGTCTATTAGGGTGCCGTAGACGTCGAAACAGAGGAGGCGGTAGTCTGAGAGGTTGGTCATTTTGGTCATTTTGGTTTGATCGAGTGAATATATATATGTTGTATGTATATATATATTGAGGGTATAGATTGAGATGATGAATGAATATTAGAATTATGTCCTTTTCTGTGCTACTTATACACCCCGCATGTAGATCCCTGCTTATATATAGATGGATGTCCCCTTGGCATATTCCTAGATAAGGATGTCGGGGACCAGAAGTGGTATAGGCAGGGTTTCCCTGTAATTCCATTCATGCCGATAATGCCTCAGATAAAGTGCATATGGAGGTTACCTCGTATTTCAAGACATTCAAGTCATCGATCATTGCTACATCCAGTCATCCCTACAATCAATCGGATGCATATAAAACAGAAAAAATAAGATCATATATGACCGAAAGATCGGAACCTCGACAGAGGTGTGCAGCTAGACAAGACAGAAACGGAGAAACACTCTCTATCAAAAGAGAAAAAAACACTCGATAGAGTCACGGAGAAAGAACCACGTTTGTATCATGATTGGATCGGGAAGTACAGAATCCTATTTCCATCACCCTGGGCCATATCGTTTAAACTTTTTATTGGGTTCTCCTCCGAGTGTTGGCGCCATGACCTTAAAATCTTGTATGATCCGGTATCGATTCCGTTCCAACATACACAGCTGATGCACAGAACTCCGATCCTTCCCGTCCACCGCAAAAATCTTTTCACATCACGTCCCCTCACACCTTCTTATGGCAATCCGTTTATGCCTCAATGAGAGCACGGCGGATCTGGGTACCACGCTGGCGGGTAGAGAGACGGACCTTCTTGTCCTCGGTGGCCTTCTTGACCTCCTCGGCAGCCTCGGTGAGGATAAGCTCGATGTGGCAGGGGTTGGTCATGTAGGGGTTGATCTGGGAAGAAAAGTCAGCATTTTCGGACACACACTCCAACCGTAAACCTTAGGAGTAAAAACGTACACGACCGTGAGCACGGTAAGTGCGGCGGCGACCCTTGGGGGCCTGGTTGACCTGGATGCGCTTGATGATCAAGGCGCTGGTGTCGAGACCCTTGCCATCGGCGTTGGCCTCAGCGTTCTTGAGCAGATCAATGATGTGCTCAGCGGACTTGACGGGCCAGCGGGCCTTGGAGACACCGAACTGCTTGCCTGTAAACGAAAAAATTGTCAGTCGATGTTCGACTCCATTCACAAAATTTCTTCCAGAATTGTAGATCCACAGCATCGCCAAAAAGCCAAGAAATCCATCCATTCGTTCCATTCAAGTTTTCCTCGTCATCTTCATTGCATATCCCAGTGGCTGTCGTGTATTTGGCGATGCTGTTCGTCTTTCCACACAATCCATTCCTCCGATCCATCCGGAATTTTTCTTCAAAAAATCAAAAAAAGGGCGACTCACCCTGAGCAGTGCGACCGGTGGAGCCAGCGTAGCGGCGCATGGGAACGGCCATGGTCTTGGTGGTGACGTTCTCGAGGAAAGTGAGGGCCTTGGACAGCTTCATGCCGTTGACGGCCTGGGCGGTCTCACGGGTGTTCTTGAAGCTGACACGGAGGTAAGAGCCGCGCGCGCGGGCGCTCTTGGCCTCCGAGATCTCCTGGGCGGCGTAACGGACCTGTGTAAAAGCATCGCTCGTTAGCAATGGGATCGTCGTTGGATGTTGGTGATGTTGGCAGCGAAAAGTCGACCCGGCGATCGGACATTGAATGTGCATCACACAGGTGGCATTTCGTAGAGAATGGGATTCGGAATGGTCATTATCGATGACAGGGACATGCAGCACTCACCATCTTGAAGGAGTTGGCGAGGGGGGTGTGATGGTCCTCGGTGATGAGTTGTTGTCGCTTTTCGTCGTCGTCCGGCTCTCGCTTGAGCCACTAGATTTGGTGCGGTTTTTTTCGCTCTTGGCGCTCTGGCCCTAAGCGAGCCCTAACGCTAGCCGTTTTTGGTGAGTTTTGTCTTTGAGTTATGTCAGATATTAGTCATTGGGTTTCTGCCCCACATATCAGGTGTCAATCCCTTTACAATTAACTAAATCAACTAAGGTGAACGCCTCGGCACTTGTCCTATATTTGATGATTGAACGGAACAAATTTTATTCTTCATAAATCCATATCTACATTGTTCATATTTTGTCTATTTCTTTTGCTCTGGCACCTGTGTAATAAGCTCACCCTTCTGAACAGCCGACCGCAGGTTATCCAGCACCAGAATCTCCATTTCCTTCTGAGTCTCATAGGTTCCAGTACCAATATGGGGCAGCAACATAACATTAGGGTTGCTAACAAGGCCGGGTTCAATTTGCGGCTCGCACTCATACACATCCAGACCAGCAGAGCGCACCTATAGACATCCACCAGTCAGCCGGGATTGTCCACATATCTATCATGGAAGACAGGTTTAAGAGCAGTACATACCTTGCCAGAGTCAAGCGCCGCAACCAACGCCTTCTCATCAATCAGCGCACCACGCGCCGTGTTAACAATCACGACACCATCCTTCATCTTAGTGAACTCGGTCGCTCCGATGATGTGGCGCGTAGATGCGTTCAAAGCCAAGTTCAAGCTGAGCACGTCCGAACTGGCGAGCAATTCGTCAAACGAGACGTAGGTCGCGCCAACTTCCAGCTCGGCTGGTAGACGGGATCGGTTGTGGTACTGAATCTTCATTCCGAAGGCCTTGGCGCGGATTGCCATTTCCTGCTCATGGTTATGGTTAGCTAGGGTCGGGTGATGGGCTACTGTCTGTGCTACATACCCGTCCGATGCCTCCCATGCCCAGAATTCCGAGGACCTTGTTCTTGGGGTCATGGCCCAGGGTAGTTCTGTACTCCTTTCCTCCTGCGGTGATCGGGCCTTGCCACTTTCCTGTCATTGGGATTATGGTTAGTTACCGAGATCATTCTACGATAGTTTAGAGACACTTACCTTCCCGGAGAGCAGTAATAGGAATATGAGCCTGGCGCAGAGCGCCGATCATCAGGAAAATGCCCACGTCGGCTGTCGCATCGTTGACGGCGACTGGAGTGCTGGACACAGCGATGTTCTTCTTCGTGCAGGCGGCAACATCGATGTTGTCGTATCCCGCGCCGTTGTGGCAGATGTACTTGAGAGATTTAGGCAGGACTTCGAGCATCTCTGCGTTGAACGGACCGGTGTACTATGCGCTGTCAGTAGGACAATTCGAGATCAAGGAGTAAAGTTGATGCCTACCTTGGTGGAGTTGTTGGAACGGTAGAGGGCGACTACATCGTCGTACTTGCCAGCCTTGCAGTTTTCAATGAACTCTTCTCTGGTTCCGCTGGGGAATTCCTGATTTGTCTTCTTTAGCGGGATTCGATCGCGGCGCAATAGGAATCGCTTACCTTCAAGGTCAACAGAGATGAGATACTCTCCCACTCCTTGCGCGCGTGTGTGATTTCTCCAATGAGGAGAGCTGATTGTGTTGCCATCTTGTTTCTGCAAATGTTAGATGCGCCAAATGATGTCAGCGGGGTTGCTCACGTTTGTAGAGTTCTATAGTTCTATAGTTCTATATCAAGAAGGCAAGGGAATTGAGATTAGCAAGTTGGAGAATGAAAGAAAGGAGAAATTTCCAGAGTCCAGGAAATTCTTTGGAAAACATTCTTGGAGATCCCCGCTATCGTGGAACCCCCATGTCATGACGGGGGGGCTCCTCCGACGGTGTCTTGACTCTTGGATATAGATACTCCGTATAGCCCTGGACATTGTATAGATCGTGTACTTGTACATCAACCATAATATCTCCCTACTAGTCCATTTCTACAGCTATTTCTACTAGTATCTACATTTTATCAACTTCCCTTAGTTACTTCTTTCTTGACCTTCAAAGTAATGTAAATGTAAAGAATATACACCCCCACGTCGGGTATTGAAATCACCCATTTTGTCCAAATCCCGACAGCGGAGCACCTCCGGGCCCCGAGTCTTCCCCCCACGAGGGCCGAGTGGGGTCTTTTGGGTGTTTTTGAGGGGAATCAACGGGCCGACTTGGAATGCCGTCAGAGGTCGGGTTTCGCTTTTTACTTCCTTTACTTCCTTGACTTACCTTTCTTCTATTCTCTCTAAAACTACCTACCTACTACCCTCCATACTATACACATCATGGCAAACACAACCACCAACGCGCTCGTCCTTCATGGCGCCAAAGACCTCCGTCTGGTAAGTAAATACAAACACCAGCCCAAGACGCAAATTAACCGAACCAAGGAACAACGCACCATCACACCCCCTCAACAACAGAAGTCCAAGTCGCCATCCGCGCAACGGGAATCTGCGGCTCAGACCTACACTACTACAGCCACGGCCGAAATGGCGACTTCGTCGTACGCGCCCCAATGTGTCTAGGCCACGAGTCCGCCGGCACAGTAACAGCCATCGGCGATGCCGTAACAAGCCTAAAAGTCGGCGACCGCGTGGCACTGGAAGTCGGACTCCCATGTCGCACCTGCGCACTGTGCAAACAAGGCCGCTACAACATCTGCAAAGCGATGCAATTCCGCAGCTCGGCAAAGGCCTTCCCACACCTGGACGGCACGCTGATGGAGCGCACAAACCACCCAGCCGATATGTGTCACTTGCTTCCGGATAGCGTGTCGGATGCGGGCGGTGCGCTTGTTGAGCCGCTTGCTGTTACGTTGCATGCTGTGCGTCGCTCACACCCGCCTAGTCGCGAGGAGGTTTCTCAGAACCGTCAGGCTGGGGAGGAGACTGCGGCGCTGGTTTTCGGCGCTGGTGCTATTGGACTCTTGCTTGCTGGGGCGCTTGCTGCTAGTGAGAATTTCTCGGCGATTGTTGTTGCCGATATTGATGCGCGGAGACTTAAGATCGCCGAGGATATGGGGCTTGGCATTAAGACTGCTCTTATTCCTAGGGCTGAGACCCCGCCTCCAGCCAAGGATGCCCCGCATGCTGAGCAGACGTCTTATGCGTTGGAGAATGCGCAGAAGGTTGCGGCGAAGTTGATTGAGGCGGTTGGTGCCAAGGATGGACTTGTTGTTCATGGCTTCACTCGTGTTTATGATTGTACTGGTGTGCCGGCTTGTGTCCAGGCTGGTATCTATGCTAGTGCGCCTGGTGGTGTGCTGGTGCAGATTGGAATGGGAAATCCTATCCAGACTTTGCCTATTGGCGCGGCGGCGCTGCGTGAGGTGGATATTATTGGTGTCTTCCGTTATGATGGGTTTGCGTACCCTGCTGCCATTGCACTGCTGGCCAGTGGGAAGGTGAAGAGTGTTGAGGAGAAGGTTGTTACTCACAGGCTCAAGTTGGAGGAAGGAGAGCGGGCGTTTACACTTGCTGGCAAGGGAGTTGATGAGGAGGGAAACCCTGTTGTGAAGGTTATTATTGAGAACCGACGGGGCGCCAATGGCTCTTTGTAGATTGGTGCTGGTGACGACGGTGATGATGATGAATTGTGTTTGAAAATACCCGATTGTGACGATAGAGCAAAAGGATGGGCACAGATGTATATATGTGGGGTATGAGGATTTATGAACTACAAAATTGAATTTACAAAATTGAATCAAGAGGTTGAGGATAGTGATAATATGTACGGCGCGAAAGGCCAATGAGATATATTTCCCCTTCTTATACTATTCTTCCTAATATTTGGCGGATTGCTCATTTCAACCCTCCACCCAGCAAGAGGCTCTGACCCGTCATGTATCCTGTTTTCACAAGCATAGTCACAACATTGGCCGTTTCCTCAGGAGTCCCGAGGCGACCGAGTGGAATACCAGCTGCCACGTCAGGGATAGCGGCAGCGTTAGGGATCATACCGGTATCACCAATCATGGCAGGAGCCACATCGTTAACACTGATATTGAATTCAGCCAGCCGGGTAGAAAGGTTTTTCATCATGCCAGTCAGACCACCTTTAGAGGCAGCGTAATCTAAAAGAAAGTCAGTTTGATATTGTCCAGAAGGGAAACGAACTCAGTTACTGACGGCATCCATTGATCCCTCCGCCTTGCGCGGCAATTGAGGACATAAACACAATGCGCCCCCAATTCTGGTTCTTCATATGTTCGACCACCCCCTTGACGAGAATGAACGAAGCGCGCAGGTTGACATGTAGAGTATAATCGAACTCTTCGAGAGAGCAGTCCCAGATTTGCGGGATCCGCTTCCCGTGTCCGGCGTTTGAGATCAGGATATCAGGTCGGTGGCCGTGCGCGTTGTCGATTTGCTGGAACATCGCCTCGATATCGTCGGCGGAGCCAACATCCACTTTATGGATTGAGATGCGGAGCTTGTTATCGGGGTATTTGCTCTGCAGATCGGTCACCAGCGCGTTCATTGCGGTCAGGTTGGTCGCGTATGTCAGGGCAAGATGAACTCCATGTTGGGCAAGCTGGTGTGCACAGGCAGCTCCAATTCTACAAAATATATTGTCAGTTATTCATTCTTCATGTTGGGGTAATGTGAGTTGAGGAATGACTTACCCTCCCGACGCACCGGTGATCAGCGCAAGTCGACCCTGGAGCTCGTTAAGTGACATGATGCGATAGACTTGATATGTGTGTGATGATATGCAACGATAAAGCGCAGAAGTATACTCCCAAATCTCCAAGTTTGATCTGGCAAAACCTCCGTTGCGCCTCGGGGCCATCTCCGATGGTGCCCCGCAGCTCCCCCGCATCATTTGCCGTCAGATTGGGGCGTGGGGGTACCACACAGGTATCACATGCATCACGCGATAAAGAAAGCCATTCCCGATGATTTAAAAGAGAAGGCTGCTGCTCATATCCCCCATCCAAGCAGATGGCTGCCAAGATTGCGAGCGTGGCTCTCCAGATTGGTACATATCGGATGCATTCTGGAACGCATCCAGTCCCAACAAGCCACCAGAAATCTGGTCTCCGGATACATAGTCACCCACAGCCTCCAAATCCAGCCACGAGAAGTCATTGGCAGGGCTGAAGTGCATGTATCCCGCGTCTGCGACCGGGTTCGGAAGGGCTGCTTGTAGTGAGAAGTCACTATTTTGTTGTGCCTCTTCGGATGGGTTCGTGGATTTGGGCTTCCACAGAAGCTCTAGAAGGCGGGCATAGCGCGCCCCGACATCATCGCTTCCGGCGCTTGCTTGCTTAAGGACTTCGGTGGTTCGGATGACTAGGCCTTGGACTTTTGCTTCTTCTGATGGGACCATCATTCCGAAGGAACGTGCCTATGGTATCGGTCAGATGATATGTAGAAGATGAGGGTTTGGACAGGGATATTACCTTGTAGAGGAAAACGGCCGAATAGATGCCATATCTAAATCGCATGAGCTATTTGCGTCGACGTAACTCGCAAAGAAAGGAAGACTTACAAGTAGAAGCGGAGAGGCATGAAATGGAGATGCTTCTCAGGATCTACCAAATCCACAAGGATTGTCAAGTATGACTTAGCGGCATCGACCGATTCATAAATGAACCGTGAATCTTGCATCGAAGCGACGTTCTTAAACGTCGACCGTAGGTGTTCTCGCTGGCCTTGTAGGTCTGTTTTCGGTTTGACTAGGGACTGCGAGATCGCAGCTTGGAATGCGAAAGCAGTTGTATATAGACGTAAGTACTCGTATGACAACTGCAACATTGCTCGCATAGGTGGTGAGCCTATTGATATGTTAGAACCAAGACCCCCAGATGTCCAAAGAATGGAGAAAAAGCCCAACTTACAATCTAGGGACCCCCAAAGTGACTTCCACCGCAGAATCGCCAGACGGAAGTCATCCACATATTTTACATAGTCTCCCATCAGCATCATCTGGTTACTAGTCCGCATCCCCGAATACAAAACCTCGTGAACATTTCCATAAAGCTGCGTAAGATCCAGCATAGCCTGAAAGATCTTCGCATAGTCCTCCTCGCCCTCGTTAACCGGCTGCAGCGACGGAAAATCCTGACTGACAAGACCAGTCATGGGCCCGGGCCCACGAGACCAGAAAGCACGTCCAATACGCACAGAGATCAATCGGTCAGAGACATAGCAGCTCGCCCAGGCCAACCGCCTCCGAGCCTCACTCTCCTGATCACCATAAGGATCCCCACGGAACGAAGTGCGATCCATGCCGATGAAATACCCCGAGCGCAGGGCAAGCCCGACATGCATCCATGCAGCGCGGTCTTCCTCTCCGCGTCCAACCCGCTCAATACGTGGCCGCAGTCCCTGCGGTTCCCACTCGGCAAGTAACAGAAGCGCTTCGACCGCTTCAACATCACACTCCGCACCCGCGGCGATGCCGGAAATCAGCTCGTGCATGTACTTGGAGCAGTACTCATGGATCTCGGGCTGGTCCACCAGGTCCTTGGAGGCGATGGTCAGGACTGCGGTGAGCAGGTGTTTTTCATTAGTGGCGAAGGCGTCTAGGGCGGTGCGCGTAAAATACTTCCGCGGCACGAGGGGAAGATAGGGGTGGAAGTTCTCCGCGTAGCGGGAGATTAGTTGCCACACCGTTTCCGGGTCTAGGGCGCATGTCTGAACGAGTCTGTAGGCTCTGATCCCTGTACTTTGGTTGCTAAAGTCCGAAACCACGCCGCTGCGTAGGTTGTTGTATGTTGGGAACACTGTTGGCTCCGACCGAACATGATCGTTGCGGACCTCAGGGGCTATCCCCGTGCCTTCTGTGGCGATGCCGGTCAAGCATTGCCAGGCGTCTGATGGATTTCGCGGGACTGATGATATTGAGGTATCATCTTCCTCGACGGATGCTGAGGCTGGTGCTGGTGGGTTAGGTGGCAAGAAGACCACCGGGCCGGGATAGGAGGCCGATTGCACTCTACGGTTCTCCGAGTTGGTTGGACTTGATGTTTCTGAATCCTTGCCTGGCGACTGATTGATTGGTGTAAAGTTTTTGATTTTGTTCTTTCGGATTCGACGACCTCCACGATTTGAGCCGCCTAATATGCATTCGCGATTTTCGCGTACACAGCGCTGACATGGTGGTTTACCAGGATTACCGTTCGAGTCTCTGCATGCGATCAGCGTGGAACCAATATATTGCAGATCCGGGGAAAGACAGCAAGGGCTGAAGTGGCTGAAACGGGAAGAATATAGGAAGAAAAAAAATAGACTTACAGGTCACATCGAGACTTGCGTTGTCTGCAATGCAAACAGGCTCGAGAAACGCGCTTGGCGATATCACGCCGAGAGGCTTCTGATGATTCTTCGTCCATGGCTACAAGAACATTGAAGAGTATGAAATCGAAGACATGTATCCCCACAGAGAAGTCCACCGACCCTTACTCATCGAGTCCATGCTCAAGGGCTCAACGCCTCCAATGTGGGGGAAGGGTACACCCATGGAAACCTTGTAGTTATCCGACGTTTATTGTTGTATGTATGTACAGCATATTATATATAAAGAATTCTCCTTTTAAGAGATAATACTATACTACAACATAGAACATTAGTTAGAGATGTCTCACCTCTTCCTACGCTATTTAAAAGCCATTCGGGTCATATTTCAAGGTGAATTGTAGGGAAAATCACTACCGTGTCAATTGCCGTCGGCTATTGACTTCGGCTATTGGTATTGCCCGGAGTTAAACCCCACGTTCTCCCACGTTCTTCGGGTCTGATTGGACTTCTTATTTGGAACTCCTCTCTGTCTCCTTTTATTCTTTTAATTGTAAAGTCCTTTGCATCTTTATCTTTATATTTATCTTCATATTCATATTCACAATGGCAGATGTATTGTCCCTTTTCTCCCTAAGCGGGAAAACCGCCATCGTCACTGGTGGAACACGAGGTATTGGCCAAGCTATGGCCTTTGCCCTAGCTGAGGCCGGTGCCGATATTATCTTGATTCAGGTGAATCATATGCGTGGAAAGAGTTAGAGAACACCTATTAACATCTTAACAGAGAGACACCACCAACACATCAACCAAGGACGAGATCATTAATCGCCTGGGACGTAAGGCATGGATCCATGTCGCCGAGCTTGGGGATCGCCAAGCTGTCAAAGGCATTATTCCCGCATTGACTAGTCAAGGACTTAAGCCAGAGATTCTGGTGAACTGCGCAGGGATCCAACGGCGACACCCGGCCGAAAAATTCCCGGATGAAGACTGGGATGAGGTGAGTCGAGACCCCCCCCGTCGGCCCCCCCGATATAAGCCCGCAATATAAATCCGCCCCTTGAAACATAATGTCTTATTTGTGGAATAATATTTAGGTGCTGGAAATCAATCTATCCTCCGTCTTCATCATGTGCCGAGAATTTGCCGCCTATCTGCTGGCTCGAGATGCCTCGGAATTCCCAGGGGGTCGTCGTGGCTCCATCATTAATGTGGCATCTCTGCTCACCTTCCAAGGTGGAATCACGGTGCCGGCTTATGCGGCATCGAAGGGTGGCATTGGGCAGTTGACCAAGGCCCTCTCGAATGACTGGCTTGCCAAGGGAATCAATGTCAACGCTATTGCCCCTGGTTATATTGCGACCGATATGAACACAGCCCTTATTGCCGATGCTGACCGTAACGCCGGTATCATGGCACGCATCCCGGCTGGCCGATGGGGAAAACCCGAAGATTTCAAGGGTGCGGTGGTGTATTTGGCTAGTCAAGCTAGCAGCTATGTATCTGGTGAGGTTCTTACCGTTGATGGTGGATGGATGGGACGATAGATGTTACAAAATGGGTATGACATACATTATCTTCAATAAATTGTGGGTTATTGTCTGATTATTGTCTGATGTGTACTTGATGTACTTGGTATAGTTGGTGTTACTTGGTGTATGTACTTTGTATAGTTGAGTGGTCAATGCACAAATCCAATGTCTTAGAATAAAACACCGGCTTAACCAACTACACAGATTTAGGGCTTTTCACCGGATATTCACCGGTGTATACTCCGTATTGGATGCCTGTGTTGTATATCTAATTAATAATGTCTCAGAGTTCATAGGGCTTTTTATCTAAAGGCGTTGCGCCCAGAGTGCCCATAATTGAACTTGGATCGACAAAGATCAACAGCAAATCAACCAACCTAACCCCATCAAGAAGAGGACACTAGTTCTGTTGGAAACACTGGTGTCTATTTAGTGTCACCGAAGGTCACCTAAGGAGTTCTCCCGATAGGTTGGTGGTTCATTTAAACGCCTAAGGATAATCAGACCATTGGGGAGGGGGCATTTGCTTTCTTTTTTTCCCGTCAAAACTCCTTTCGGGTCCTCTTCTTCAAGGGCCGAGCTTTCTTTCATTTTCATCTTCTTCCATTTCTTCTATTTTCCCTTTCTCTTGGCTTTGTTTTGTAGACAATCGACTGGTCTCGATTGTTTGAATTACAATTACACACTCTCTTTATTAAACACTTGACTCTATATCTTCCCACCTGGATATATCCAATTTCATTCTTTAAAAGAAAAAGAAACCAAAGAAAACGTGCCCCCCCCTTGCTTACATTCCAGAACACCTTTTTGAGAGAGTGAGTCTCTACCAAAATCCAATTCTTGGGAATATGCTGGATATGCTAATTTCTCTCGAATTCCAAAGTCCAGGGTTATTTTGGGGTCGCTTTGTTGACTTCAACCTAGACATTCACTTTGGAACAATTTACATTGTTCATTGTCAATTTCAAAACGAATCAGCCACAATGTTCCCATTATAAGACATTGTCTTTGTGTGATACAATCAAAGAAGGTCGCCCTATCTATATTGACTGTTTATAACCCATTTGATCTCATCTGATCTATTCCACCGTCTTCGACTTCGATTCCCCCACAAAATACCCACATACAATCGACTCGCAACTCTTCACATTTTCTGATCTGAAGCTGTTGAGCAGCTTGAAACACATCCCAGATTGCCATCTCGACTAGGGGGTTGTGCAAACGTCGAAACCACAGCCGTGCATGCTTATTGTCCCAACTACAACATCTTTCTTTCTTCAATATCTGCGTTCAATGGCAGCAACCCATTCACATATCGTGCCACGAGGGTATGGCTCAAATGCCACATACATATATGAGTACTCAAGGGGGTTGGGTGGCGTGGACGTACCCCGCGATGTGATCTTCACTCGGGCCATCTACGTTTCCCTGAGCATTGTGGCAGTCGCATTGTTCTGTGGCCGGGTGGCCCAGATCAGCCATGCCTATCTACGCCAAATCACCGCATCGAGCGCAGACAAGCGCCAGCAGACCTTCTGGGCCCAAGAGCAATCAAAATGGTGGTCCAACATCAAGAAATACATCCTCTACGCTCCATTAGGAAGGAAGAGACACAACCGAGAATTACAGCTCTCTTCCGTCGTCAACGTCGGCACCCTACCCTCCCGACTGCAGACCATCCTGGTTGCACTATACTTCGCCAGCCAAGTCGCATACTGCATCGTCCTGGACTATAGCGTCAACAACAAGGCAGCCTTGATGGCCGAGCTGCGCGGCCGATCCGGGACGCTAGCCGTCATCAACATGGTCCCGCTCTTCCTATTCGCCGGCCGAAATAACCCCTTGATTACGGTCCTTCACATCAGCTTCGACACATACAACCTCCTCCACCGCTGGTTAGGCCGCATCGTGGTCCTCGAGTCAGTTGTACACACCGCGGCATGGGCCGTGAACGCCGTCGACGAGGAAGACTTCACCCGCATGCTCACCCGTGTGCGTGACACCCCCTTCTTCCTCTGGGGCCTGATAGGCACATCCGCCCTGGTCTTCCTCTGTCTACACTCCCCCTCACCCATCCGCCACGCCTTCTACGAGACCTTCTTACATCTACACCAGCTCGCCGCAGTACTCGCCTTCCTTGGTGTGTACTTGCACCTGCAGCTCGACGATCTCCCGCAGCAAAGCTGGGCACAAACGATCGCCTGTATCTGGCTCGGCGACCGACTCGCTCGCCTCTTCCGCCTCATCCACCTGAACATCTCCACCTCCGGCACAACCAAAATGATCGTCGAGGCCCTACCAGGCGAAGCCTGCCGCGTAACCTTCCACCTTCCAAAGCTCGTCCAGATCGAACCAGGCTGCCACGTGTTCGCCTACATCCCCAGCATCGCATGGTGGATGTCGCACCCATTCTCAATCGCCTGGGCCGAACCCAGCACCAGCAGCACAGTAGCGTCCCTCCCCTCCCCTACTCACTCACCAGCCCAAAGCAAAGGCTACAACGACCTGGAAAAACAATCCAACCTACCCACCAAACCCACCAAACCAACAACACAAGTCTCCCTCATCATCGGCGCCCAAAAAGGCATGACCCGTCGCCTATACAACCTCGCCAACGCATCCCCCTCAAAAACCCTCACATTATCAGGCTTCATCGAAGGCCCCTACGGCTCACACCCAACAAACCCCGCAAGCTACGGCACAACTGTCCTCTTCAGCGCCGGCGCAGGAATAACACACCACCTACTATACACCCGCGCCCTCGTAACAGCCGCCGCGCAGAACACCGCCGCAACCCGCAAAGTCTACCTGATCTGGTCTGTCAGATCCACAGACCACCTCACCTGGGTAAGTAACTACATGGATCAGATCCTGCGACTGCCGAATCGCCGGGATATCCTCGTTGTCAAGCTTTTCGTCTCAAAGCCGCGTCGCGCGGCCGATATCGTTAGTCCTTCTGCGACCGTGCTTATGCATTCCGGGAGGTGTAGACCTGATGTCGTGCTTGATGAGATTTTGCCAGGACGCACCGGCGCCACCCTGGTTAGTGTTTGTGGGCCGGGCGCTTTTGCCGATGAGGTTAGGTCTGCTGCTAGGGAGAGGATTGGGAAGGGTGCTGTTGTGGATTTTGCGGAGGAGGCTTTCACTTGGTGATGTGTCGTGTGTCGTTTGTCGCTAGTGGCCAGTGGCTTGTTTATATGCTTTTGAGCTATTTTCGCCCTATGGGGTTTTTCTTTCTTGTCACTTTTGTTTAATGCAAATCTTCTTTTTTTTTCCCCGCTGGCTTTGCGGTTGGCGGCTCTGGCATATAACCTTGCTTAATATCTAACTGTATAGACTATATCATAATATTTCATTTGAGAAGGTCTTATTAAAGATCTTAGAAGGAGATTTATTTGCTATGCACGAAATGCTTGAGAAATGTAATAAACATGTATATAAACAAGATATTTTAAGTTAACTTTATGTATTAAGACCATGTAATGTGCAACCATGCAACAAGAAGAGGGGAGGAATTAGATATGGCGGTCTAATGCAGGTGTTTTGTAAAAGAAATCCAGAAAATTATAAGATCAAGCAGTTTTAGTCTTCTTGCTGCGTGTTCCCTTGGGCACCCGAGCAAGCCAGTATATCCCCACCGCAGCAGCGATGTTGAAGATGATAAACGCCCACATGATACCGAAGTTACGCCAGGCGTCGCTGTAGTAACTCAACACGCTAGCGAGGAAACTATCCGTCTTATCGATACTGCAGAAAGAGCAGTTGCTAGTGGCGTTTGCATCCAGGAGATAACCACCAAAAGGCTTATAGATTTCCGTTCCGTTGGGGGTGAAGAGTCCGTTCATGTAGGTATCCATGTACTGGGCACAGGTGTTTCCAGGCGTGGGATCGAAGTGGAGCATCTCGATAGCCTCGCAGTAGACGTTTGCGCCGGAAGTGCCGGTCGACAGCATTGCAGAGACTAGGTATGTGAATGGCGAGAGGCGGTACATGAAGATCCAGAAGCCGGGCATTTTGTCCGGGGTGGCGAGGACACCGCAGAAGATTAGACAGAGGGAGAAGAGCAGATTGGCGAGATTGCCTCCTGTTTCGGCGAGCTCGATGCCGGCGATCATCATATGCGCGAAGGTGCAGGTGAAGATCATGAAGGTTAGGATGAGGAGCCACATCAGGGCGCCGCGCTCGTGGAGGTCGTCGGCGCTGGTGTTGCGTTGGAGGCCGATGGGGTAGTACCAACAGACGAAGATGAGGACGGACATGAGGGCGTTCCAGGGGAGTTCGACGATGATGTTTGCTGACATGAAGGCTTGCCAGGAGTAGGATTTGGAGGGGCGTTCGCGGACTTCGTAGAGGGAGCGCTGGGTGACGAAGTGAGGCATGATTTGTTGTACCAAGTTACCAAAGACTGTCATCAACATGAAGACACTGAACATTTGGTTCTGGAGTCCTTGCATACTGTTCTGGGCGTGGAAGAAGGAGAATCCGACGTAGAGAGCTGTGAAGGTGCAGAGCGCGATCTTAGAGTAGATGTAGACTGGGGTGCGCCAGTATTGGCTGAATATACGGACGAGACATTCCCAGAGTTGGACAGTAAAGGGTGCGGCGAATTCGTTGAAGCCGGTTGGGTCGCTGTCGGTTGTGGCAACGGGTTTCAGAGAGAGGTTGTTCTTGAGCTCGGAGAGGTGGTTGTGAACTTCCTTACGCTCAGGGCTGTCGCGCCACACAGCAGGCCAGTCAATCTCACTATGGGTTCCGGGAGCAGCTCCAATGACCTCAAGCATCCACTCCGCAGGATTGGCCTCGGGAGATAGCTTGGGAGCACCGTTTCGTTCAAAGTAGCTGGAAAGCGTGGAAGACTGCTCGCCGATCTCTCCGAAATACACAGTCCTACCACCCTTGGCGAGGAACAGGAGACGATCGAACCGCTGGAAGAGCATAGCAGAGGGCTGGTGAATAGTGCAGAGAATAGCCTGACCGTGTTTGGTCAAGGTGTCAATGAGATCCAGGATAGACCAAGATGTTTGACTGTCAAGACCCGAAGTGGGCTCGTCCAAGAACAAAAGCAGCTGTGGCTTAGCAGCCAGTTCGACACCAATAGTAAGACGCTTACGCTGTTCGACGTTAAGACCTTCACCGGGGACACCGACGACGGCATCCGCATAGTGTTCCATTCCAAGAAGCTTGATCACTTCCTCGACGTAGTCGAGTTTCTCCTGGCGAGAAACGTGACGGGGCTGGCGGAGAATAGCACTGAAGCGGAGAGCCTCGCGGACCGTAGTAGTGTGGAGATGTAGATCCTGTTGTTGAACGTAGCCAGTCTTACGCTGGAAAGACTGATCGCGAGGACGACCATCAACCAACATCTCACCGGACACAACACCCATTGTCACGCGCGTGGCCAGGACATCTAGAAGAGTGGTCTTACCGGCTCCGGAAACACCCATAAGAGCAGTGCAGGTACCCGGCTTGACCCAGCCGTCGACGTGGTCGAGAATGCGACGTTCTTCCTTCTTGATTTGAATATCGTAGCACACGTCTTGCCACTGGAAGATAGCGGTTTGTCTCTGAATTGCAGCAGAGGTTCCTTCACCATCGGAGCTAGCGCCATCCTTCTTCTCGGCAGAGGACACGGCCTGTGTCTGCTCGACGTCATCCGCGGAGTTACCGGAGTGCTTGGGGGCGTGTCCGCGACGGAAAAGCAGAACCTCGCCCTTGGACTTGGACTCGGAGATGTACTCGGTACCAATGAGGTAGGTAGCCATAAAGAAGACCATGAACCCAATCATGATTCCCAGGTTCCTCCATCTGTGGCTGTTGGAGTACTGGAAACTTGCAGTGTAGTAGGCCTCGCCGCTGACAACGCTCTGGCCGGCCACAGCTCCTTTCACCGAGCAAATCTTGTTGGACAGGCCGACATCCGCGTAGGATTCTCCCATCGGAATAAAAGAGTCTAGTTTGCAGAGGAAGTCCCGACCATGGAACTCGTTCACAATCAAGGTCTCGAAGCCATAGGCAATTGGGTCAATGTAGTTCATCCAGCGAGACCAGCCAAGCATGTTCCGGGTTGGGATCGTGAATCCAGTGTAGATAACCAGACCCAGGATCAGGATGGCGGCGGGCACCAGAGCCTGAGACAGAGTACGCGAGTAAGAAGCAATCGTACGGAACACCATGGACATGGTCATAGTAGTCACAAAAGAGAAGAGTAGGAAGGTAAAGAAGGCGCCGGCGGTTTGGCGAAGACCAGTCATAAAGTAAAGCGTGATGTTGAAAGTGATAGCATTGAGTATCTTATACGGCATATCACATAGCATTGACGAGATTGCTTCGGCAAACGGATGGTACATAGCGTAGCGAGCTTGCTTCTCCACAATAGGACGTTGCGCGTAAAGAGTCAGAATCTCTAGAGCACTAGAGAAGGAGTTGAGTAGAACAGCGAAGAAGAGGAGGGCACCGCGAGAGTAGAAACTGGAAACGTCGTCGGGCAACTGGTAGAAAACCGAACCGATAATCAATGCCATAATCGTATTTCCAATCAAGGCGGATATAGTTAAACTATAGTCACCCCTCAAACGTTGGAAACCACGTGTCACACAGATTTGGACCTGCTCGGTGATAGATAGGGTATATGGAGACTTAACACGCTGCCCCTTCGATTGCATAGCCTTTCGAGATTCGACGAACTTCTGGAAGGACTCGCCACCGATAGGGTACTGCTCGTCGTAATCGGCAATCTCTTTCTGAAGTTCTTTGTACGTAGCACTGTTTTTCCAGGCAGTGGCGAACTCGTCGGGGGTACGGGGAACCATATTTTCAAAGCCAGGCTTAACAATTCGTTCAGCGGGACTGGTAAGGGAGGTTAGGAAATCGGCGGTAGTCTGGCGATCAGGACATTGGAAGCCCATATTGGTGAAGAATTCCTTAGCGTCGGTAGTGCGGCCGAAGTAGATTTGTCGGCCCTCGTATAGCACAGTCACCTTATCGAAGACATCGTAGGCACTCTGGGATGCCTGGTAGATAGCGACCGCACAGGTGGTACCCGCATACTTAGACATCAGGTTCAATGTCCTACAGAACTCCAAGGCATTGGCACTGTCTAGACCACGGGTACTGTTATCCCAGCATTGGAGAGGGCTACCGCAGAGGGTGGCCTCGGCGATACTAACACGCTTCCGTTCACCACCGGAGACACCACGGATGAAATCATTACCGACCTGGGTGTTGATAGTGTGTGAAAGACCAAGCATGGCCATCACGACGTCACGCATATGCTCTGCGTACTGTTCACGACTGACGCCTGGCAAACGGTTGCGCGGGGCACGAGCCAGAGCAGCAAATTTCAAAGTGTTTCCCACAGAAAGCTGAGGGAAATGCACATCGGTTTCGGCAGTGTAGATGGCTTCACCGCGGAACTGGTTGCGCATCTGCTTATCGGAAATTCCTTGGTAGTTCAGGTGAGTGTTGGAATCCTTGAAGATACCATTCATATCTCCTGCAATGGTCTTCAAGAAAGTCGAACAGCCAGATCCAGGACGACCGAGAACGACGAGCATCTCGCCGCTCTTGACGAGACCATCGAAGTCGCGTAAAATCTGGATCTTCTGCTTGCCAGTGCCGATCATCGAACGGAACAAGGCTCCGACTTGCAGAATGGAGTTGGCGACATCCTTCTGGTAATCTGTGGGACTGCCGAATCCGTGCACGCTGAGGTTTTTGAATGACAGGCCAGCCTGACGTTTGGGGTATCGTTCTGGGTCGCGGGATTGGATAGCAAGCAGGTTCTTCATCCAATTCTTGGCCTTGAAGTTTTCACTGCTAGGGTTGAGGGTCGAGTCCTCATGGGTTTCGATGAAAGGGTTCTCCGCATTTTGGGTTGAAACGGAGAAGCGCGTTGACTGGCGGGTGAGTTGCTGGGCTAAGCGAGTGACCTCGGCCTCGGTGTCCTCGTCATTGTAAACCTCACCCTTCTCATTAGCGGTGTCATCGGTGCTCACGCTGGCGGTAGGGTCATGACGGCGAGCTTCCAGGTTGGCCGTATGGGCATCCTGGTCTTGGTTGCCGCCGATGCTGGGGTTCAATGTCCCTAGGAGCGACATGATGACCTTCCCACACGGTCACTGTCGAATTGGGCAGAAGATGGGACTGATTAAGTGGGGTAATGTCCCTATAAAAGATGAATAAGGTGTATGGCCATCAACGGGATGAATATGAAGATTGGATATAAAGATTGTACGGAGTACAGAAATTAGGGTTCGAGTAACGAAACGGAGAAAAGGCAATGAGCGAACGAATTTGAATTAAGTACGAATATATAAAAGAAGTCAAAAGTCGAAAGCAAAAAAAAACGAAAAGGTTCAAAGGAAGCTGGAGATCGAGACCCGGAACGGTTGTATCCTTTACCCGGAAGAAAACAAAAAAACGGGGGCACCCGTTGAAACAGACCCGGGGCGGAGCTGGCAGGTTTCCGGGAGATTTCAATGTGGCCTATTCTCGTTTCGGATTTTTCAAAGACTCTACCCTTGGTGTGGCTTACTGCCAAGAAATAACATGGCCATATCTTTATACTATTAGGGTAACTAACTAATAATGGTCACCTTTTTTCTCCCCTTAGATCTATTGTACGAAGTAACCCCCACACTGAAAATTAAGAGCGAACACGAATACGATGTAGATGACTCTATACATACTAGGAGTACCTGATACTTCAATATGACAGCGGGAAAGGGATAAGGGTCAGGTAGATCGATGTACCTGCCATGTTGTTCATACATGGTCACACGTGTCCATGGGCCCGGGGTACGGAGGTGGTTAAGTAAGGTTCCAGACAACCTTGGAAGTCAGCACGGGACCACCACTATCCGTTTCACCATAGGGCTCGGATGTCCGGGCACGACGCATCCGAGATGACTCAGCTATTCCTGGGGGATCATCTCAATCCATACAACATCCATGGATATAGTTATCCATGGGTCTTTGACGCTAAACCGCGAGTGACTTTCCAATGTTGCCCAGGTGGCATCTTATCTCCGCCCCCTAACTCCCTGGTACAACCTTGGAACATTATGTTGTACATCCATATATGCCTAGGGCCGCTCGAAACTATCGTATGAGCGGACCAAATCCGGCCAATTTAATCCGAGTCAAAGACCTCGGGAGTCTCCGATATTGCATTTCCTTGGAAATCTCACGAGTGTGGCACTGTCAGATACGTGCACACAGACCCCCCTTACATGGGGCTGATATGTAGTTCGATGGACTATTGGTTCTTCGGACCAGCCGAGCCAAAAAGTCGCCAGGCTGCAATGATGTTTACGCCATATCAAATACGGAGTATGTCTGTTCGGGTAAGCAGACACTTTCAAAATCTGACCAGAGACCTGAGTCAGCCACGCAGTAGGAGAAAAAAAAAAAGTAAAATATCGAATCATAGTAATCTACATTGTACATTGGATATTGTAAAAAGCAACAGAGCGGTGTATCAGCCGTGGTCTTCCAAGGAACCCACAAAAGCAACATTTGAATCATAGAGATCAGTCATATTTAGGACATGTCGGTCACAGCCTTGTCATCATCTAGATCACCTTCCTCATCGATCAGTTCCACCAACAGATTGCCGCCACGTCCAATCTTCTCTTTGATTGACCCTCCCTCGTCAACGGCATACACCACCCGAGGCATCGGTGAGACCAGTCGAAATCCGTATTGGTGCACAAACCCCTCGGGTTCACTCGCCACAGGATGCTCTGTATCCTGATCCTGTAAGGCCTCGTAGCACTCAACAACAGCATAGACCTCTTCAATGTCTGCATCGGGTGCAAACTTGCGCATGATACGCTCGCCGGACGGGAGCCGCACGCTAATACGAACCGCATCCTTGACATCTGGCCCGGGCTCCGCGCTAAGCGATTGCCCACGCCAAAGCTTCCACTGTGCGAGATTGCGGCGCTGCTGCTCCTCAGCCGCCTGTCGGCCGGCGGCTTCCTGTTCTTCGCGTTGGCGTGCCATCTCCGCTTCCCGGCGCTGGCGCGCCCTTTCACGGTCGATCGCCAGCGACCGCTCGTAGGCCGAGTCTTGCTCTTCGCGGAGGCTGCGCGAGGCTTGCTGCTCGGCGCGTGAAGATCTGAGTCGGTCCAGAGGCTCACTGTTAGATGATACGACTGTCCGGAGCTTGTTCACGGCCTCGGATGGTGTAGTGAGACCTGCGATCCGTCCTACAACAGACATGGCGGTTGATGAAACATTTGGAGTATGAACGATGACCGCTGCAAAGGGGAATTTGGTGCATTTCAATGAGTTGGCGACTTGGTATGCCTCGGAATCTTGCACGTTGCCACCCCACACCAGGAGGTTGTTCTGGGGGTCGTTGATGAATTCCACAACCTCAGGTGCCAGCAGGGTATCACGGACCCAGCTGTTCGTATCGTCGTGCTCTGGAGACAAGAGAATGACCACAAGGTACTTCAAGTCACGATGGGCTTTCTCCAGCGCCATGTTGTATCCGTTCTCCAGGAAAGGAATCGGGTTAGATTCATATTCCTCTTCAAACTCGCGGATAAAGCGAGCCGCAGTATCCTTAGGGCCGAGGGATCGACGTCCAGTGGTATTCCGGCGAGCACCTTGCAGCGCAGGGTTCGCCGTCCTGTTAAACAAGCGTGGCAAGAAAGGGAAGAGGACACCAAAGAGGCGGAATGAACTGCAGAGGAGCCGATATATCAAATTAAATGGAGTGAGAAGCAGACTAAGGATGAATGGAGGCCGGTAGATTGGCTGGTCTTCTGGTTGTGTCTCAACTCGTGGAGCCAGATCTGTAGCTGTGGCACGGGTAACTTGCGACAAATGTTCGGTTAAATCGTCTGTCATTAGATTCTGGGTTCGGCGGTTGGGTTGGGGTGGAGGTGGATGATCCATGGCAGCGCGAGCTTCTTCAAGGGGATCCGGGCCTTCGCCATCAAAGAACTTGGATATGGCAATCTATCATGCGGGGATCAGTTAAACTCTCGTACACTTGGCCAGAAACCGGGGAAGAGATAGACCAACCTGCAGATTCCATTGTGACCGGCGTAGTAGCGGAATTGCCTCTGAAGGTTCCTGGCTAGTAACAGCCATGTACATTTCTAGCGTAGACTTCTCACTATCGGAAAGCTGGTCCAGGTCAACCTCCGGTTGTGACATCTTCTCATAGAAGGGCCGTAAGCCATAAACTCAGGATTTTGGGGATTTTGGGTAGTATCAAAAAAGAGGGAAGAGAACACCCATGAAGAGGAAGATCACTTGGGGATGGTCATTGAGCACGTGCACAAAGTCCACTACACACATAGATGGTAAGAACGACCGTGACGTCGAAGCTCTAAGTGGCCTCAAGACGGAAGCTCTCATTGATGTTCTGACCGCCTGGTCCGTGCGTATCCCCCTTCACTCGAGTTCGTTTCTCGCCCCGCGTCTTCATCTCCATCGGTTCTGTCGCTCTTAATCATTCCTTGGGATGAGAGACGACTTTGGTCTTATCCTTAATATTCCATTCATGCCTATTGTTATCGGTTGAGGTACCGCCCGACGTCCGTGGGCTCTCCCGGAATTGACCCGCCGCCAATCGCATGGACTATTGGTGACTTGAATTTATTAGGATCAAAGCAGGGGAATGCGGTTTTCACCCAATATCATCCTTTGTTCTCTACCGAGTCTGGTTTCAATGGGGATCTTTTTGCGCTGATCCGCACCATCAAGTGGGTACCAGCCAGATATCATGGCGTCTGCCGGAAAGCCTCCATTGGAGGATGCTCGTCGGACGACAGGATCACCGAAAATGAAGAGCCGCGGTGAGTGTGATTCGAGTGTCAAAGGCTAGCATTTCACTTCCATTTCAGGGCTGAAATGGGCAAGCCGGAGAAAAATGCCGGATTTGAGACGGACGGAGTTGCTGACAACAATGACTTTGCTTGATAGAGAATGCGAAAGACACATTGTGCCGCAACGTGACCATCTATGGGAGATGTCGCTATGAAGACAAAGGTATTGGCAACCCTTGATCATGGCCAGCGTGTGTGCGTTCAAGCTGATTTAGAACTCTTGTATCCAGGTTGTGCTTTCAATCATGACCCGTCGAAGCTCAATGCGAACCAGTCGGACAGGTGCGAGGCGAAATCGGTCTTTTAGACGAAAAGCGGACGAGCTTTGCTAACAAGGACTGTCTCGTTTGATAGCAAGAAGCGGTTCAATGTCGACTCACCTAGTTTTACCCCATCCCTACTGTCTGGAAACGGCGTATCAGCGCCAAAAAAGTCCACCGCGATATCTCCGAAAGCTGCTAGTGCAGCTCCTTTCCAACCTCGAACAACATCATCACGTACGTGCTTTGTGGGAAGAGGGAGTAGGCTTACAAGGGGATCCACTGACGTTAGAAAAAGGTTCAAACACAAGTACGCCAACAACGCGGTCAGAAGGAGTGCAAGATTGGGCGGTGGCCGATGTGCAGGAATTTGTTCCTCAGGGCTTTGAGCATGTGGTCAGTCGTCCCTGCCCTCTTGGGCTATTATTCAATTTCCGATTTCCCTCGCCTATCGATCGCGTCTTGTTTACTTTCTTAACCATCCCAATCTCTTTCCCCCCCTCTCTCCCTGCATCAACCGTATTCTTATCATCTTCTCTACCATCCCGATGGTGCTGGGTGAACTGTCTGCCATGGCAGCGGAATTTGATCCAAGAACTGGGCGTTCTTCGAACACTCAGTTCTTCACTTCCCATCTGCCTCCACACGACGTCCCTCCCCTTTTCAGCGCTGCTCTGCGCAACCGTGCTAATACTCCCACCCAGACATCTCTTCAAGGCAATGGAAACGGAGGAATCACCCCCACGGGTGCATTTGATCCTTTTGTGACCACCCCAACTCCCATGACTCCGGGTGCTGTTGGCCCTGTTTCTGCCAACCCTTACTCCCACGACCCTACTGGTGCGATGGGAGGTGCTTTCTTTGCAAACCAAACTGGATTCCAGCAACCGGTACGTTGGTATACAATGGATTGCCTCTTTGTTGGGATGAGTCCTAACCACTCAATAGATTCAGTACCATCTTTATGCCCCAATTGGCCCTCATAGCCAGAACACATTGGGATACCAGCGCAACGTGCATGATCTCTTTATTCCCAACGACTTGCGTGAAGAATTGCAGAAGAAATCTGCAGCTACTCTTCAAACTCTCCCTAGTATGTTAGAATGCAATTGACAAGAATGTGCACGCATGCTGACGAACTTGAAGACACCCAACTTCCTGCCCAGGTCGACTACTTCCATTCCCTTGTCCCTCTGGATCTCAGTCACCAGAAGAATGCTGCGACCTTTGGCTATCCGAGCTGGATCTACAAGGCCCAGTCTAGTAAAGATGGCACCTTTTATGCTCTTCGTAGACTTGAGGGTATGACGCTCTCTCCATCTCCCTTTTTTCTTTGGTAGCTTCCAACTAATCTTAATAGGTTACCGCCTGACCAATGAGAAGGCTATCCGTTCTGTGCAAGCCTGGAAGCGCGTCTGCAACGCCAGTGTGGTGACCATTCACGACGCGTTCACTAGCCGCAGCTTCCAAGACAGTTCTCTGATCTTTGTGACCGACTACCACCCACTGTCCAAGACACTTGCAGACCAGCATCTAAACGCTGGAACCCGCTTCCCAGGCCGCCACACCAATGCTCATATTCCTGAGCAAATTCTCTGGGGCTACATGACTCAGATCGCCAACGGACTCAAGGCGATTCACGCCAATGGTCTTGCTGCCCGAGTTCTCGAGCCTAGCAAGGTTTTGCTTACCGCTAAGACCCGTGTCCGCATCAACGCCTGCGCTATTCTTGATGTGGTGCAATTCGATACCCAGCGGACTGTGGCCGACCTCCAGCGACAGGATCTTGTCAACTTTGGCCAAATGATCCTCACTCTTGGCGCCAACTCGCCCACTGTCATCCACAACCCAACCAAAGCCATGGAGTATTTCACTCGCGTCTACAGCCCTCAGTTGAAGAACTGCGTGCTCTGGCTGTTGAATGGTCTGCAAAAGGATCAGGAGCGAACCATCGACACTTTTATCACTGGCATCTCCTCCCAGCTGATGTCGACTTTTGATTCAGCACTCCACCTGGATGATCAGCTGAACTCTGATCTCGGCCGGGAGTTGGAGAACGGACGAATTGTCCGCCTGATGGGCAAACTCGGACTCATCAATGAACGTCCTGAATATGAACTTGACCAGCGCTGGTCCGAGAGCGGAGAGCGCTACTTCCTGAAGCTCTTCCGCGATTACGTCTTCCACTCGGTGGATAGCCAAGGTGACCCGGTGGTTGATCTTGGCCATATCCTCACTTGTTTGAACAAGCTCGATGCGGGGACTGATGAGAAGATCCAATTAGTCAGTCGCGACGAGCAAAGTTCCTTCATTGTCAGCTACAAGGAGGTCAAGAAAGCTCTTGAGTCTTCCTTCCAGGCTCTGATGAAGCCGGCTAGACGAATGCACTAGCGAGTCTTCGAAATAATTTGCGTGTGGTAATCTTTATGGTTCCTGGTTGCTTGCTGCTTGCTATTTCTGACCACCTGTTTGATGCTATTGTCTCTGGTTTGACGGGCTGTCAAACAAGAGGCATTTTCTCAGGGGTCAACTCAAGGGTTACATTTTTTGTCATTTTGCAAGCACCGATCTCGCCACCGTGATTGAAATACAAACATAGGAATGAATAACTTCAAATTGTTTTTTATTTGACCGTAAGCCTGTAGACATTCCTTGTAGTTCAACACGAATGTTCTCGACGCAGGGTGAGAAGTGTTTGCGTGCGTTGATGCAGTATCATGTTGTGCCGAATCGGACGCTGTATTCGGATGATTTGTATAGTAGGAATGGGAAGGCTCATGTGTTGTTTTCTGGACATGGTAGTGGGAATGGGGGTGGTGCATGTTTTGGATCGGGTGTTGGTTCCGCCGAGAAAGATTCAGGATAAAGATGGATGAAGAAGACAGTGATCCCGCCGGAACATGCTGAAGCTGTCCCTGGGCAGGTTGCCGTGCAGCCAATATGCGATTGGCAGAAGCCTTAGCCTGGGCAATATTCGGACCGAAACTGAAAAACTGACCAGCCGATTGGCCGCCTTTTGGGATGATGGCAATATAGACGACGAAGAAGAAGAAGAATGCAAACTGGGTCATATTCACGGGAGGCGAGAAGCTGGCCGCCGTACCAGAAGGCGAGCGCCATGGCACATAGCTCAACGCTGTCGGAAAATGCAAATACCAACGTTGTGTAGCACGCCTTCCGGGTGGCCTTCTGACGCTGATCTTTTAGCAGATTTGAATATCTTTCCAAGATTGTATCTTCCATCGTCAGAGCAGTGACCGTTCTGAAGGCCCGGACTGCCTCTAGGTACTTAATGTATGCCCTGTATAACTCTCTCATTGGTTTATATTGCCAGGCAATAATTTAGATCTCTCACTTCACAAGTACCATTCTTGAATCTATAACGAACAAATAGGGCTTAGTTTGTAGCAAAAATATATACATGTATAGGAGATTGTTCAACAAATACGATATTGTTACACTGACGGTCAGGGGAAGGCAAGATGGTTCATATTAGCTGCAGGTCCACGCTGCCTAAGAGGGGAAGCGGGCACGTGCTGCTGACTAACTACTGTTACATAACATCTGCCGCCGCCGAAAGGCTCGGCCGCCCCGGCCGCAGCGGGAAATGCAAGGAAAATATCAGATGCAGAGTATCAGATATAAAGCAAAGAGGCCTTCCCTCCATCGTCCATAACGCTGTTACGACAAGGAGTCATCGGCAAAGGTATTGTGAAGCGAATTTGTTGTCAACGGGTCTAGTGGAGCGTCGTGGATGGTTCCGGGTCGCTGCTGGGATGCCGTGCCGGTAGCAGTTTGGCCCATTCGTTGCGTAGACGCCTAAAGATATTAATTGCGGGATCATCACGCTCCTTGCTGCTCACTGCCGTTGAGAAGACGGGTAGGCTCTGCGCAAAGTGGAGTGCGTCTCTGATGTGCGCGGCCTCTGCTTCGGTTGTGATATTTGACAGCGTATTATTCATGTATGCTGGGAGCATTTGCTGCCTTTGCTGGAATAGAGTGGTCGCTTCCGTATCGGTCATGCTATGCTCGCCGGCGAGACGTAGGAATAGCAGAGCTTTCTTACTCGCTGTGCAGCTGGCTGCGAGTGGCCCCGAGTGCTTCCAAGCGGCTGGCAGCGGTCATCAGTGTTGGAAATGATCGTGTTGCCTCCAGTCTTGCGAGGTTGTAGAACGATTGTAGGGTTGGTAGGCTCTGTTGAGTCTCAGTCAGATGAATTTCGGGTGCAGGGATTAATTCGATACCCAGCGGACTGTGGCCGAGATATTTCTTTTTTTTAACACCGGGCTCTTTATACTCCTAAGTCTTAAGTCTTAACTCTTGATTTCTTACTATCTTACTATCTTAATCTGAATTGAATCTGAATTGAATCTGAATTGAGTGTGAATTGAATCTGAATTGAATCTGAACTGAATCTATAAAGTGTATAGAGTAAATGCTTCAAGAAGGCAATAATGAACTAGGCCCTGCTTATATTCGGCCAACGTCAAGTAAATATCTCTTACATCCTGCGATACCAACAAACGTCTTCTTTAAGTCAGTAAGGCAATAAGGAATAGCAGTACCGCAGAAGGAGAGCTTGCTTACTTGTCAAGTGGACATTGCCGGGAATTCGTATCCGTTATGATCCACGCAACCATTTCCGCTGCTTCTTGCCAGAGCACTAAAGGCTCACGCTTTCGATCTCGGCTCGCCGCTTTTGCCTTAACAATGGTGAACGTTTCATCAACGATAATCCCTTTAAGATAGCCATCCGTGCACGCCGTCAATTCGTTTTGTCCAAACGGTAGAGTTGCGAACGGCCTTCGAGCGGAAGTCCATCGGCAGGCTATATCAGGAATGTTGAGGGTAAGGGCCCTTAGAAGTTCCGTAAGCGCCTCGTTCATAATCTGTTCATCCTTAGATCTAGATTGGACCATCTATAACGCATAGGTCGTAGTGCTCACCGACGGACTACTAGTGCTAAGAGCAAGCGCGGACGGGGAAGGGGCCGCTGCTAGCTGACTCTACGTAGTCTAGCTGCGAAGGTGGATCTTAGCTAGATCGCGGTCGCAAAATCGGAGGAGCCGTTGGAGCCAGATCACTAGCATTCACCTTATATGCTCTAAAGCTTATAGCCATAAGTCTCTTGTCAGCTAGAAGGCCCCAAGATTCCCGTCTTCTTTGCCCACACTCTTCTTAGACTCGGCGATATAGTTACGCGAAATAGTGTTCAAACGCGTCAAATTCACTCAGTATTTCCTCGGTGCGATCTTCGAGTACTTTGTTCACCGGTATCTTCTCTGCCTTCGTAGGTCTAGGACGCAGCACTCGCATTGCCAGGTATATGGCGTTAGACATGTCACGAGTATCTCCTTGTTCGACCATAAGATGGTGACGTTATACGCCGGTCCATACCTCGCGATGGGTGCCTTGGTGCCTAAGCTGAGGCACACATGGGGTACATGGGACAGATCCACTCCCATGTACCTCCGTAGTAGATAGCTTCTCTCTCTCCCCTTCCTTCTCTCTTTCTCCTCTCTGTCCATCCACATTCAGACGAATCCTACCGTGTTGTTTCTCCATCTCTGCATCGCAACTCCGTAGGATCTCTCTATTAATTAATCAATCAATCGACATTCATTGGCCCGATCTAACTTCCTTTATATAGGGTTCCTAGGTAGGGTTTTGTTATGTAACTTTGTATAGCGAGAGTGAATCTAAAGTACTACCAGGCAATGTAAACCTGGCATACTTAGTCCCCATTATCTCCGAAATATCCCCCGCTTGAAGCCGAGATTAAACAGATAGGTAGGCTTCATCAAGTCATCATCAAATATCTCCGGTTTCTCTCCGACTGATGCTCCGACCGATGCTCCGACTGATGCCCAAATCACGCCAGACAGTTTACTCATCGAATATCTCCACTTATTTCATATAATACATTGGCTTTTGAACTGGCTAGTTTTCAATTTCTCCTTAGTTCTACCGAGAGCCACAAGTTTAAAATTTCCCCGCAAACGAACACAACCCCAGACCTTGCGAAAGCCATGCCAAGACAGTCGAAGTTACTGTACGTCATGGTGGTGAGCGAGGTTATAAAATGAGGAATAGAGATCATGGAATTATTATTTGCACATTTCTATCCATTTCTTTCCCTCGGCTCATTTAAAGCCTGTGGGGAACAATGGGGAAACCATCCCCTCTGCTCTCAGTAGCAATTTACGGACTTGGAGCGAGTGCCTTAAAGAACGGTCTGGCTTTGACACCACAATTGGGCTGGGTATGTTTGTATTTCATTCCAACTGCACTTTGGTACATATTTTATGGAACCTCAATCTAACTAGAACAATTTTAGAACTCATGGAACTCTTTTGGGTGCAATATCAATCAAGACGTCATTCTTGACGCGGCGAAAAAGATTATCTCACTTGGATTCAAAGATCTAGGGTATGAGTACATCAACTTGGACGATTGCTGGTCCTCTGGAAGGAACTCATCCGGCTACCTGGTCGCCGATCAGGAAAGATTCCCGGATGGAATATCAGGTCTGGCGGAAAAGGTCCATAATATGGGCTTAAAAGTCGGTATCTACTCAAGCGCTGGAACGGTGACTTGTGCGAAAGAATATCCCGGTTCTCTGGGATACGAGGAGAAGGACGCTGCTGTTTGGGCTAGCTGGGGGGGTATGATGCCCTGAGGAAATCAACATTATGTATTCCCCTTACGCTAACAGCTGCTTAGATCGATTATCTTAAGTACGACAACTGCTTTAATGAAGGACAGGAAGGAACACCCAAGCTCTCCTACGACCGTTACAATGCAATGACCAAAGCCCTCAACGCAACTGGCCGACCTATCCTTTATTCCATGTGCAATTGGGGCATGGACACTGCTTGGAGCTTTGCACCCACCATTGCTAATTCTTGGCGAATCACTGGTGATTTGACTAATGTCTTTGATCGTGAGAATGAGAATTGCCCCTGTTCTGAACTCGGTGGACTTGACTGCAAGCAGGCTGGGGGCAATTGCTCTATTATGAATACCGTCAATAAGGCTGTCTATTTCCCCTCCAGAGCTTTTAAGGGTGCTTGGAATGATCTTGACCTGCTTCGTATGTATTCTCTTCCCTATGTCATATGTTCTTCACTCTTTGCCCTACATTCCCTATATGTTCCATTATATCATCGTTCAAGGAACCCGCAAACTAACACTCTCAAGAAATTGGAAACGGTGGTCTGACTGATGATGAGTCCATGTCCCATTTCAGTCTCTGGGCAGCCCTCAAGTCTCCCCTCATCCTGAGCAACGTCATGAACAAGATTGACCCCAGCACCCTTTCCATTCTTCAAACCCCAGCTGTACTTGCTGTTTCCCAAGACCCAAAGGGCGAACCAGCATCCCGTATCTGGCGGTATCATGTTGAAGACACCAATGAATACGGCAAGGGCGAGATTCAAATGTACTCCGGCAATCTCAGTGGAGGTGACAAGCTTGTTCTCCTCTTGAATGCTGGATCAAAGGACCGAGAGATGAATGCCACCCTTGTGGATATTTTCTGGGCAGATGGGGCAGCCGGCAGTGCAACAGAGATCAAGCAGGGTTGGGATATCTATGATCTGTGGGCGGATCGAATGAGCCATGAACAGGCAAATGCGATTATCCACAACAATGGCACTATGGCAGCTTCGAATAACACGTCTTTGTCGTTCAATATGACTGAGATGGGGGCTCAAAGCAAGTTTATTCCCAAGTGCCACCATCGTCTTCACGGGAATTGATGGGTTCGAAGGTTGGAGTTGTTCAAGCGAGCGGTACAGTCAAGGCGCATGTAAAATCCCATGGGGTGGCTATGCTTCGCCTTCGTGCACAAAAGCAGTCTAATGACGAGCTGTAGGTAAATGAGAATTACCTGTTTTCGAAAGCTTCCGCTCTTTGTGGATCACTGCTTGCTCGTTCTTTGGACCCTAGATAGGAATGCTAGGCTAGCTGAATGATTTGTGAAGGAGAAATCCTGAAGTATACTGAAGCCAAATTACAAGAGCATGTATGAGAAGAAAATGATGACAAAAGGCTATGAACTACTACTGGATGAATGGTTACTGTCTACAAGATAACATTGTGATGTGACGTGTACGGGCGACTAAGTGTGCCACCAATACATAACTCTCTCATTGGTTTATATTGCTGGCAGTATTTTAGATCCACTCCCACTTCACAACACTAATTTTGTAGTTATTAGTAATATTGCGGCCTGCTGATACTTGAAGATGCCTAAATGCCTGGATTATAAGGTTAATAATATTTGTGCCTTACAAAATTGGCACCAAATGTTGACGTTATTCGCGCCATACAAATCCTATTATTGCTCGGCGTTGAAGCCTTTCTCCTCTCTACTACTCTAGTACGCTTACTCTAACCGCCGCTTGAAGCTTCCCCCGAGGTAAACTATACGTCCTTATATTCTTATCGGAAAGGCCGACTTCGTTTATATGGAGTATTATTTATAGTGGTGGGTAGTGGTTTTAGATGCTTTAATCCCTATATTTCGAGGCGTCTCCTTATTATTATAAGAGTAACAGTGAGACAAAGTATCTCGCGTATAGATTTGTATATAGAACTAGAAGATACGCCGGCTTCAAACGAGAGATAATCTCATCTTTATGGGGTTTAAGATCGATGGTTGGTCGTACCTAGTTCTTGCTAAGCAACCCACACCCGTAGGGGTGTTACTTGGCAAGAACCGGGTACCATTGTAACGTATACGAATAAAAGAGAAGTTGAAATAAATATTCAAAAAGAAATTAGGGTATATGCTTAAGAAGGCGGTGATGAAAAGGCGGTGGGGTATCAACCAATGAGAGAGTTATGTATCGGTGGCACACTTAGTCGCCCGTAGACGTGGTGTTTTCACTGCTGCTCCCTTACACACCTCCTATTTCTTTGGATAAAATCCTAAATTATGAACGGATATTACGAAGATGTATAGTATAGTAGCCTATTGCTATATGTCACGGTCCCGGTAAATTTATCCTCAACTGCCCGATTGGGACAATAGGCGAGCACCCTCGGGCACCTACCACCATACTCTACCACTAGTACTACAGGATATTGGAATATACAGCTGCTTACCTAGCGTTAGTGGTACAGTACCTATGTAGGCTTCTTTAGTTACTAAATACCCCTGCCGGACGGACGAAGGCGTATTTGAATGTTTTACAGTGTTAGGTTACCCTAGATAACAACGACCCAATTTTTGAAGCGCACCTCCGTGCAAAGTCGAGAATTTTAAGACCCTTTTGTTACCATGCTAATCAGGGATATCGGATGAGCGGAATCCAAGGCTGGCTAGACACTAGACAGTCTTTATCTCTCAACACTCTATAATAGAATCCCGAGTTTGGGTCGACATAGAAGTTCTCCAATTCTAACATATAACAGATCAGCAAAGTCGTTCAAGTTAAAGGAACTGCAGTGAGGTTTGCTCGTTGTATTACCATTCGAGACATAATAAGATAATGACTTTCTTTTGCTGGTAGACTGTTATGGTAGACATAGCCATATATCTGCCATCTACAAGCCTTTATATTTCCATTCTCCATATGGGTTTATCTAACCAACCAATGTGTGATTGGCCCTATATGTGTCCACTTCAAATAAGTTTTACGGAGTACCAACCCGGGGCCGTATTTGCGGGGTATGTAATTGTAGGTTTTGGTAGTATAAAAATGTATCATTTTCTCTCTTCCAATCTATTACCTTTTATTTCTAATTATTCCTAGATATTGGATAATATCATAAATTGAAATTGTTCACTATGGTCCAAACCACTGACAACGACTCTGCATTTCCACCTGGGACAGTCACGCTCGAAGGTATTCATTCATACTGCCTCATACTACCCAAAGGGAAAGCCACAACAGCCCTGACATATATCAGATCTTCAGGTTCGCGATGAGACTGTGCGGACAATTCTGTTGCCACGTCCCAGTCGAGATCCTAACGACCCATTGGTGCGTCACCTAGCAAAAGTGAGGTGTTTCTTCTAACAGAAGCAGAATTGGGCTCTTACCCGCAAATATCTCAACTTCGGTCTTGTTTGTTGCTACACCCTTTTGGTGTTTTCATTGTAAGTTCAACCCGTCCCCTTTCTTTCGCTGGCCGGACCGAGTTTTAATCGACCCAACGCTAGCATTACTGTCGCTATACCTACCTGGGAACCGATGCATGAGGAGCTGGGCTTTAACTACCAGGAGCTCAACAATAGTTATGCCCTCGGCAGTGCAGGTGTGGCTACTGGTGCTGTTTTATTGACACCATTTGCCCTCAAATTTGGGAGACGCCAGATATACATTATCAGTTTACTCCTGCAGATCGGAGTCTGTATCTGGGAAGCTCAACTTCAGAAAGTGCCGGAGTTATACCTTGTCACCTTTTTGAGTTGCTTCCTAGGGAGTCTTGCGGAGATCATGATTCAAATGACCGTTGCCGATGTCTTTTTCATCCACCAACGAGGGGCCATGAACAGTATCTTTATTTTTTGTCAGCAAATTGGTACCGCAGTGTCCCCTGTTGTTGCCGGTTATATCACCACTTCTCTTGGTTGGCGAGCAGTATGGTGGGCTATGGCCATTTCCTTAGCAACTGCTCTTCTTGCCTTTGTGTTTCTATACGAAGAATCCAAGTAAGTCTAGACCCTTCTAATGGTTGTTATACACACCCCCACTAAGACATTTACCGTTTAGGTACTTCGGAGTTCCAACCGAGGGTATGGAGTTAGAGATAAATATGGAAACTTCGACAACTGGACATCCTGACGAAAACCATGAGACTAAACAGAAGCCAGAGACCAAAAGCGACAAGCAAACTGCAGAAACGGCACCTCTTGATAAGCTGCCGCCTCTATACGACGCTGATATCGATGAATCAATCCCTTCTATGACCTACAAACAGCGTCTATTGCAATTTACTGTTGGCCACGGATCTATCTCGCAACTCCTCCTACATATCTACCAACCTTTTCATATCATGCTTTATATTCCAGGCATACTATACATGGCGATTGTCTACGGTGTATCATGGGCCATCATGACGATCATCGGGACAAACATGGCCACTTTCATGCCAGCCCCACCATATAATTTCAGTGCATCCGCCGTCGGCCTTATGATACTACCCGTCTTCGTTGGAACAGCAATTGGGATGGCAATTGTCGGACCTACTTCTGATAGGCTGATTCTCTACCTTGCAAAGCGAAATAATGGAATCTACGAACCTGAAATGCGCCTCTGGTTATTAGCTGCTTTCATTCCGTTGGTTCCCACCGGACTCATGGTGGCAGGCTCTGGCTTCCAGTATACACTTCCATGGCCTGTCATAGCTGTGGGGTTCGGTGCCGCTTCTTTGGGGATCACACCAGCCATTAGTATATCACTGACCTATGTCACCGATGCTTATACTGAGGCAAGTGAATTTTACGTTTCTTTGGATTTAACTAACTTTAGACAGATCCTGGGTGATGCCATGGTGGGTATTACATTCATGCGCAATATCCCCTCATTGGTGATACCTTTCTTCCTACTGCCGTGGATACGCCGCATAGGGATTTTGAATGTTTATATCGTGGTATCTGTCATTTCGACCGTGATATTCATGGTTACATTCATTTTTATTATCTACGGGAAAAGGATCCGTACGGCCACTGCTACTCGGTATCGGTGGTTTGCCTCTCGTCAGTTCAACGGCCGGACTTAGTATTGCAGCTGTGGGAGAGTGAAATATTGATAGGAAGCCAGGAGAAGAGAGAGCAATGCAACTGTATTCGGAAGTGCTAACTGCTTCTGCTGAAGAAGAAGAAGGGGAAAAGAATAAGAGGGAGAGGGGACTATATGTAGCTAGCAGTCCTGTCAAACAGGGCCAGGTGAGACCTATCCCAACAAATATGTTATTGATAATTCATCAAGGGACACACATCTGGCCTTTACAAATGAGGATCTGCCATCCATTTACTTAGCTCAGCGAAATTGTTCACTTTTTTGGATTAAATTGAACGTCAATTCTAAACACATTCCATCTCTTTTGTGAGCAATCCCAGATATATTGCTTATGTATGCAGAATCCAATTTAGTGAGAATACTAGGCTTTGAGGAACTACTTCCTATACAAGCAATTTAACACGCCCGATGGAAAAGACTTCTTCATTTCTCTATGGACAGCAGGGAAATATTGGGTTTGCCACTGTGAGATGGAACAAGCAGATTATGGACTATCTGACACGAGGAAAGTAGAACACAGAGAGAAAGACCAATAAAAAGAAGTGAGGAACAGAGCAAAACTACCTAGGTAGCTGTGGTAAAAGATTCCTAGAAGCTTCGAGATACCTTATTTGCTAAATTTGAAATGGGGATAGGCACGGCTTTCCTCATCCGAACACCACCGGCGAACTTGGATGTTAGTGCCAAAGTATCGAGGGATTGTCCTTTTCTGCTTTCCTGGAACATTGTGATTGACGCCAGTCTGCCAGGAGTCGACGTCGAGAGCCAACAGACCTTTTCCAACTTCATTGCAATGTTCCGTCCATTCGAGCTCCCCTTCCTCGTCCACCATTTCGTAGGTGATACCCCTTTCCGACATGTATTTGATGAGTTGGTGGATCCAGTTAACAGCAGACTCAATGGAGTGAGGGAGATTTCCGGCAGCGTGATGGGGTCCGAGTACAGTGAACATGTTTGGGAAACCAGAGACATTCAATCCGAGATAGCTTTTGGGTCCGTCTGCCCATTTGTCTTTCAACTTTAGGCCGTTCATTCCTTGATAATCAATATCCTCATATGCACCGATGACAGGGTTAAAACCAGTGGCGTAAATCAAAATATCAAATTCGAGATCCTCTTCACTGGTCTTGACGCCTTTCTCCGTAATTCTTTCTATTGGAGTTGACTTGAGATCAACCAGTCGTACATTTTCCTGATTGTAGATTTCATAGTAATCTGTCTCGAGGGAAACCCTGCGCGTGCCAAATCCGTGACTCTCAGGAATCAACATTTCGGCCGTAGCGGGGTTATTGACGCGCTGCCGGATTTTATTCGCCACCCACGCACTGTATTCATCATTCGCGGCTTGGTTTCGATAAAGATCCTTGAAGTTTCCGACCCATTTCACGAGTCCAGGTTGGCTGTATAGGGATTCCCAGAACGCTTCTCGCTCCTCTTTCGGAACATCAAAAGTATTGCGCGGGTCTGGTCCAAAATGAAAACCTTGAGGAGTTCTCTTGCAAGCAGCATGAATCTCCGTGTACCTCTTCCGAATCTCAGCCATATCTTCAGCTGAAAGAGCTTTGTTGTGCATGGGAACGGCCCAGTTGGCAGTGCGTTGGAATATCGTGAAATGCTTCGCTGTCTTTGCGACCTCCTGGGCGATCTGGATGCCCGTGGCCCCTGTTCCAATAAGACCCACCCTTTTCCCCTCAAAGCTCACTTCTTCTTTCGGCCATCTTGAGCTGTGGCATGCTAGGCCTTTGTAATCACCCACACCTGGGATGTTCGGCAGGGTGTGAGCAGTCAAGGGTCCGAGGGCGTTGATAAAAAATCGAGATGTGTAAGAATGCCCAGTCGTATCTGTCAACAGCCAGGTTCGGGAAGACTCTTGCCAATAGGCTGATTTGATTTCCGTGTTGAATTGGAAGTCGTCCTGAATTCCGGTTTGATCAACCAAGTAGTTGATATATTGTTCGGTGTCTTTCTGCGCCGAAAAGTGTTCCTTCCAGTCCCAGCCGTCCAAAATCTTTTGATCGAAGGTGAAGCCATATATATAGCTCTCACAATCGAAGTGTGCCCCAGGATAGCGATTCCAATACCAAACTCCACCTGGGCCGGTCCCTCTCTCGATCACCTTCGCTCGTAGTCCAAGCTCTTTCATGCGGATAACAGAGAAGATGCCTGACATCCCTGCCCCAATAATGAGAACATCATACTCTGGTTTCTGTGTTCCATTAACAACTTCTGGGGCGTTGCTTTTATCCATTGTAACACACTCGACTCTCATAGTTGAACAACAAACAATAAAGGATTGGTAATTCCTTGTATCACAAACTCCATTCTTGTTAGGATTGCAGAGGGTTTATATTTACCAGTAACGACATAACGGCACTCCAGCACAAGTCTCTTCGCGGAGCTTCACACAATGCCGACGTGGGAGTTCAAATTGACTTTAACAACGGGGAGCACTAACAAGACCTCCGGAAGAGGGTACATGTCTAAAGGTGGCCCATTCACACCGGAGGGGGTCCGGCTGGGAACTGTGGTTATGATAACCCAGTAGGTTAGTTCCCTGCCACGGAAAGTCCGGTCCCGTAATGCCTTCCTCTTTCGGCTCAGTAGCGAGACAACTCGTCATTAGACCCCCGCAGAGCCCATAAAACTCAAAGCCCAGCCCAACCCAACCCGCAAATGGGTTGGGTTTTGGGCCAGGTCCTTAGGCCCATCGATGGGCTATGGGCCTATACCTCGAGCCCACTGTGGGTTAATGGGGCCCAAATAGGCCCCAAACAATACAAACATGCCGAGAATTTGGATGCTAAGATAAGTTGAACCCCTCTTTTAGGATTAATTAAATTACCTTTGTTTTACGTCCATTTCTTACCCTAATCTATAAGGTAATATTTTATTAAATTTAATGATTTAAAATCAGTTACTAGCATTCTCTCTATGTCACGTAAAAAGACACGAGAAAACGCGTTGATTAAGAAATTCCCAAAATTATAGAGGTTCACTAGAAGTGGTGGTGCTTCCCATTAAAAGCTAAATATATATCTAATATCAAAATATTAACATTCACATTTTCGGTTATATCTCAACCCTACGAGTCGGATCGGATTACATTTTAAAATTAACATGCGTAATTATAGTATTCCCTTTATTCTAAATCTAAAATTTGAACTTCATGCGATCGGTAACTAGAAGATTGTAATACAACGATTACAGAGTCCGCTTTGTCAGTGCCTACATACATGCCCAGGCGGGTCCACGGGTTTTTATGGGGGCCATTTATGCAACCACAAGGTGTAGGCCAGAAAGTATGGGGGGACAGAGTTGAATTCATATGGAAGCAGGATCTGCCGACTAACTATGTACTGAGGTGTAGATGCCTAAGGCAACAAACATAACAAGTGTGATGGAATAGTTATCAGGCTTAATCCTACTCACTAAATCAACTCAATCTTCTAACCTGGCTCACCTCAAACTAATATTCGTTTCTCTTTTTGGCGGAGCCTTGTAAGCTTACCTTGAATTCATGGATCCGCCGTTTGTAAAAACGAAGTTCAGGTTATCAAAACGGGATAGCAAGGCTTTTATAGCAAAACATCATTGTAACGGGGGCATCTTTCTGAATTTAGCCTCCTTTTTATCTCATTTGTGTATTCAACCTCAGCCCATAGATTTTCCGACAGAGTAGCAAATTAGTCAGATATACCTATTCAGGTGTATTCTAAGGTTCAATGGCTCCGGACCTTTCTCCCCGACTCCTTCTCACTCAATGAAGGGTGAGCTCTTGCATTCGAGCCCTGGAGACAGAGAATGATTATGTCACATGGTTTACCTATAACTAACTAGTTAACTAGTTATTTAAGTATGACGAGTTCCTGTTTCACGAACGATCTCAAGTTTCGACATAAAAGGTATCCATCTATATCTCGAACGAAGTTTTAAGCAAAAGGCTCCATCTATTGTCCTCGCATTTATAATTATTATTTTTCAAGTCATATTCCTCTTTTATTTTTTTGGAAAATGACAACGTTTGCAAATTATCCAGACCTCAAGGATAAGGTCGCTCTTGTTATGGGAATTGGGCAAGTGCATGTCCCAGACTCACGGGCCTTGGGTAACGGGGCGGCCATTGCACGAGTTCTGGCTCATAGCGGTGCACGAATATTCGGCTGCGATTTGAATCTTGCTGCGGCGCAGCGTACGGCCGCTCTCATAAAAGATGAGGGAGGTTCCTGTGAAGTAATGCACGGTGACGTGACATCTGCAACCGATATCAAAGGCGTTGTCGATACTGCCATGACCACATACGGCCGCATCGATATCCTGATCAACAACGTGGGCACCACTGCGACTGGCGACCCAGCCAGTATGTCTGAGGATGTTTGGGACCGTCAAATCAACATCAACCTCAAAAGCGTCTATCTTTCTTGCCATGCGGTGCTCCCTGTTATGGAAAAGCAAGGATCGGGCAGCGTGATTAACAATGCATCAATTGCTGGCCTGACATACATCGGGAAGCCGCAGGTTGCTTACTCTTCCGCAAAGGCAGCTGTTATTCACTTTACGAAGGTGACTGCGGCGATGTGTGCGGCTAAAGGGATTCGCCTGAACTCGGTGGTACCTGGGTTGATACATACTCCGCTTGTGGAAAAAATGAAGCTTGATGGTGATCACGGAGTCTACCAAAAGATTTGTCAGCAACCTATCCCAATGGGCTATATGGGTGATTCGACTGATGTGGCGAACGCGACAGTGTTTTTAGCCAGTGATGTTGCAAAGTACATTACTGGTCAAATGCTGGTTGTTGATGGTGGTTTCACATCTTGCTCTGGAATATTGTAAAGCCACATCCAGTTCAGTCGATTATCCTTCAATTTACACCTTCTATTTTTTAAATAAGCAAAACAAACAGGAAAGTACGTTTTGCCGTATTAGAATCTACCTAGTTACCCGGTACTACTCCGCAGATGAGATAGACTCGGCGGGCCTGGCCGCCATACCCCGCATACCCCCGCATATGCCCCACATCGTCGCGTGTGTGCTCAAAAGGGAAGGTGTACGATATTGTTAGCCTGATGATGTCAAAAGACCCGACTCACAGTCCCGTCATGCCAATTGTCAACGATACATAGTACCACACTTAGTCTTCGTCCCAAAGTTACGTAGCTTGAAAAAGTTGATTCCCTTTACAACTCTATGTAGAGCTTACTCTCCTACTGATCACTATTACTACCTGTCTCCCTTGCTCGGTTTAGGTATCATGGATTTGGTTTCTCCATAAATCAAAATGAATAATATGAATGACTCTACGGATATTGATTTGATATCGCATACGAATACGGTGGCTCAAGAGAGGCCCAACAAGAGGCAGAGGAGTAGCGTTGCCAGACAGGTGAGTAGATCACAGGCCGCGAGGGTACTAGTGTCCTTATCCAAAATCTCACAGCTGATTGCTAAGTGGTTAGGCATGTGAACGATGTCGTTTGAAAAAGACGAGATGTGACGAAGAATTTCCTTGCGGTTTATGTCGAAGCTTGGACATCGAGTGTGTCTATAGCAGCCGCAAGTCAGTCCAGTGAATAGCAAAATGTGTGAAAAATAACGGAAAGCCAACTGACCATTAGCAGTACCTCGAATTCTGATTTTCTCAGAATCCTTAGCCGCTTTGAATCTACACTTCAGATTATCTCTGCCAGGGTGGATAGAGTTGTGCCTCCCTTGCTTGGGCCCAACGGGACCGACACACCTATAGCCCCTTACACAAGTCAAAGCTCGGCATTGCATAATGTTGCAAACCCGTCCATATCACAGGGAAGTCCGGAAACTAGAAATTCGACACCTGAATACCACCCAGGAATTACCGTCATTCCATTCAGTGCTCATCAGGTCATGTCTTGGAGTGGTGTGGTTAAAATGATGCCAGATTCTGTCCAAATGATATTAGCTGAGTGTGGTATGAACTATGCCATCACTCTTGAATCCAAAAGAGCACCACTCCACCAAAGTTTCCCATCACTGACTCAGCAAAATCCCACCGATTTCCTTACCAAACTCACAGTCTCGATGGTTAAAGAATTGGGCGACAGTTATTTTTCCACATTTCAACTAACCAATCCTATACTTGATCGGACTTTCTATCAGCATCAAACCCTTTCAACGGCAATAAATGGGAATTTCGGCAATGATATTGAGAGCTGCGTGGTGCTTGTCGTGATGGCTTTGGGCTTCTTGGGTCGAAAAGCTCTGGCAGAGGCTGGATTGGAGCATGTTAGCCGGGGCCGGAGAGATATGAATCTTGCTGGCCATGGTGAGAATTCTGATACAGAATTATCCGCTATGATGTTCTTCAACGAGTCTCGAAGGCGAATTGGTTGGCTTATCAATGATCATGGCCTTCAAAGTTGTCAATATTATCTTCTTGCCGGGTATGTTCCTTCAAAATACAGAGAGGTTCTACTAATTTCGACTTTAGCCTTTTCTATTCCCAGCTAGATCGTCCAGTAGACTGGTGGTCTATGACGACAAAGGCATCTACTTGCTGCCTTATGTTGTGGAAGACGTGAGTTGCATCTTTACTTGGCTTTAGACGCGAATTAATCATATTATTCACAGCATGCCTATTCCTCACGACAATTGGGTCGCAGACATGCAATCTCGACTATTTTGGATTGCCTTGATGTCTGAGTCTGTCGTGACCAAGGAGCTAAGCTTGCCTGACAGTGGGTTACAAGAAATATCCGACCGGGTACCTCTGCCAAGGTTTTTGAAATTTGAGCAGCCCTCCTTTGTAAATACGTATAACATGATTGAAGAAGAGAATGACTCTCTCTATCATTACTACTTTTTGGCCCAGGCCGCACTCAGGATACTACTGACGAGGACCAGTAACTGCCTCTTTTTCACAAGTACGGGTGTCTCATGTCTTTAAATCCAAACGTGATATTAACAAATACAGACACTGAAGAGCGGTACTCGCTATCTTCTCTAGAAGAAGAACTAATGCGTCAGCTCGAACAGTGGCGTGCCCAACTCCCCCTCCCATTCAATTCGATGAAACAAATCTAGCTCCCCCAGAATCCGCCAAAGATATTCTGCTGGTCTATTGGCTCCGCGCCCGTTACATGTCTGCGATGTATCATTTTGGGAGACCTTTGCTGTAAGAAAACAAACACAACAGAAAAGCGATTAGTGAGGTATTTGGAATTTGTACTAAGTCCCACAGTTACAGGGTGTTACGCAATCCCGAAGATACAAGCATCGATGATTTAAAGCGCTGTACGGAGATCTTTCACTGTGTATACAGATGGGAGCCCATTATCAAAGTGCTCAATACGATGAGGGCTTGTATGCCTTTAAGGTTCAATATCTGTGCTCAGTGAGTTTCCTCTTTACCCAATAATATAATCAACAAGGGTACTGATTATCCATTGAAAAACAACAGACTATTTGGACAACTGCTCATTACGTACTGCTTTCGGTGTCATGCTGATAGTCGGCTGCAGCAGGCTGTGCCATCTGAACACCGACAATGGTGTATTTTTGCCCTAGGTTTCCTGCAGGATGCCGCCCCTTGTAGTCCTTCAATTGCTAAGGATGCTGATATTTCTTCCCTTTTATGGTCAAGTTTCATATAGTTAGCATACTTTTTACTTCACCTTGTACAGCCAACCGGCCTAGAATTGTACAGGCACAAAGAAAGCCGGATTGTCAATTCCAAACGTTCGAACATACCCAACTGCGTGGTTGGTTTCTTTTTACTTTGAGATTTGTACGTAGTATCTGAACTTCAAAGGCTTGGTTTCTTGTTGTTGTGGTGGTGGCCTAAGGCCTGAATGTTGATGCCTTAGGCACCAGTCCCTCTGTACAGACTCTCTCCCCACTTTCTGGCCCACAACAACACATGTGAATAATAAAATCAACCACTCTTTTGAGAGAAGACGCTACGTCATGAAAAAGGCACAGGAGATATGAAAATCTTCATGCCTGCGCATACTTCAAATATCACTCTCACCATTTGATTACTCTGCCAACGTCTCGTCTTAATAACTCTGCATGGAAAATGGCCATTGAGATCGGCCGGAAGCTCCGAGAAACGTCCGTGTCCCACTTATGACTTGAGTTGGAGCTTCGTCCGAATTTAAAATCCAGGCTAGTGAGATTCAAATGAGGGTCCCTTGGCAGTATTGACTCTGGCCTATCTCCGGAGAACCTCCGCCGTTCCGTACCTATTAAAAAGCATGCAGGGTCTTGATACACGGCGAGTCTTGCTCAACTGGACCACCTGGACAAATGACAGACAGGCTAGATACTTCTCCTGTCAAGTACAGAATTCTGACTAGGGAGGGTAAGTCTTGATTAAGCCCGGACCAAGCTATTCAGGTATAAAGAGCAGTGGGCGCAAGTCGGTTGAGACTTCCCTGACTATTAAGATTTCTAAACGGTCTTTGTTTCAACGCTTCAGTGATCAAAGTACCACTTATTCTTTCCTACACTCATGGTGGAAGAGACGTGTCGAATCAAAATGGATTTTGACCAGCGGATTTTGGACCGAGTCGCATCTCGAACCGTTATCATCACTGGGGGCGCTGGGGGAATTGGCGCCGCTACAGCTAAAGTCTTCAACGAACATGGTGCTAATGTTGTTCTTGCCGACATACACGCGGTTAAAGATCAAGCACAAAATGTGATTGCATCCCTACCTCATCCCCGCAAAGCAACCTATATTCCTGTTGATGTTCTCAACTGGCAACAAATGAACGAACTTTTCCAGCGTACCGTGGAAGCTTTCGGGGACATCCATATTGTGGTAGCTAATGCCGCAATTATGGAATCAACTGAAACACTGTGTATGGAAAACATGGACAACGGAGGGAATTTAAGGGAGTCGGAAGAGGCTTTTCGTGTCATCGATGTTAACTTGAAAGGAACATTGAACAGTATCTCCCCAGCTCTCTCTTCTCTACCTAGCCTTGCACTAACATCCTGCCTCCCAGCTTTAAGGCTTGGTATGCATTACATAAAGTCTTCTTCGTCCAAAAACGATACAAAACAACTGCCTGCTATTATCCTAGTAGCATCCACGTCAGGGTATTTCGGAGACACTGGGGTCGCGGCATATGTTGCTTCGAAACACGGAGTAATCGGCTTACTACGAGCGTCGCAGAAAGCTGCACAGAAACACGGCATTGTGATTAAAGGAATTGCACCGTTCTTCACTCCAACTCAAATTACGACAGGGATAACGGAGAAATGGAAAGCTGCCGGACTTGAAACCAACACTCCGGAGATGGTAGCGCGTGCAATTGTACGGTCATCCGTCGACGACTCTAAAAGTGGAGCATGTACATTGGTATGTGGCAGATGAAAGCCTGCTTTATCCGAATCGTGACAAGCTAATATGTCCAGATTTCCGGGAGGTTCCAGCAAGAACTGGAGTTTACCAGGAACAGTGCTATTCCACAATGGCTAGGGGAAGACTTGTCTCAATTCATGAAGCGTGCGTTTACCTTCCTCAGAGATATGGGTGGGTTTGCTCTGCCAAATGGATTGCCTGGGCGTAACTCATGATCCAAAGCGCAATCATATCTACATCCGAGATATTGGGTGAAGGGGATTTTTACATTCTTAAGATGAGATGGCTATCGTTAGTGATGATATCCGGCCTCTCATACGGAGATAAGGTCAACCTTAGTGTATCGTGTTCTTTTGAATCTATTCATGTCCAATTATTCATAGTAGTAGTCGGGGATGGAATAGGGTATAATATGTGTTATTGTAATAGAGCTAACCGCTGACCGTAACAGCTTGTAATGACACTACTGCCGTAAGTCACAGATTTCTCAAATTCTCAATCCTTTTAGGTACTACAAGAGGTGTTATGACTATTCCTGAATTTCCCTTCGCACTAACCGCTATTTGGTCACCATAAAGGGTAGGCTGACCAACAAGATACATTAACTAACGGAGGTACGGTATCTCTGCTTCTAACTATTTACTTTTGTGGCAGGGTGGGTAATACTAATTCTATTCCTATCGATGAAGGGAGGAATAGACAGTGATGCAGTCCAAGGGAAACCCTCACAGAGAGAGGGAGAGAAGGAGAGAGAGCTAGCTGACTATTTGGTCCTGTCACCCGTAGTGGCCTTAGGAATCCAATTCTAGTAATACTCGATAGATCTCCTTAACGTACGCCCAGGTCCGGTCCGTACCTAAGCATCCATCCTCCTCGCCCATCTTGTTCATAACATAGCAGATAGTCGTCTTACGATCGGCATCCATTATCACTATAGAACCACCCCAGCCACCCCAGAAGCAGATGTTACCCTGGGGAATAGGGATTTTGGGGTCGTCCTCAACTGGCAAGGCGAAGCCTGGGCCCCACTTGTAGCGTCGCATTTCAAGAAGGTCAATAGAATCAACCTCCACCTGAAAGACGCGGTCGAGAGCCTTTTGGGGAGAGAAACACCTTCCCGGCAACCTGCCCACCGAGCGATATAACAGACATGATTTTGCCAACAGACCGTGCATTTCCATAGCCGTTAGAGGCACCAACAGCGGCCAGCCTTAACGGTGGTTCGTTAAAGTATTCGGCTTTCAGTGGGAGAGATTTCAGTGTCTTGCCCATTACGCTGTCAGGGTCTGGGTTGGAAGCAAATGGCAGATTGGGTAATGGGACGACTGGTGCCACAATGTGCCAGTCACTTTCTTTGACACCGAGAGAGTAATCAGCTCCGAGAGGTTGTGCAAGCTCATCCTCGATGAAGTCTTTCAGCGACTTTCCGGTAACTTCCTTTACGAGCTTGCCAATCAGCGTCCCTTGTGTAATGGCGTGGTACCCGGAAACTGAGCCAGGTTCCCACCACGGAGCTTGCGCTGCTAGGAGCTTTGCCGAACTTTCAAGGTCGTAAATTCCCTCCATTGTCATGTGTTCATCCCAACCAGATAAATCCGAGGAATGGCTCAGCAAATGACGGACCTCAATACCCTCTTTGCCGTTGGCAGCAAATTCGGGCCAGTATTTGGATACCTTTGCATCAAGATCGAGAAGCCCACGACTGACCAAAACTAGAGCGGCTAGGTTGGTGATACATTTGGAGGAGGAGAAGACAGCCGTCTTAGTGTGCTCAGTCCATGTCTGTGTTTTGAGCTCATCCATAAAACCAGCATGCATGTCGACGACAGGTTTGCCTCCAACATTGACATAGAGTGATGCTCCGAGTTCCGTTCCGGAATCCACGTTTCCCTCGAGGATTTTCCTGAGACCGTAGAATTTTGGATCACAGAGGCCAGACGCTTTCGACATGATGTCAATTCGGTTTGTGGGCGATGTTGCTAGGCTTTTGTTGCAATAGTCATTCAATAGCTGGGGACTTTTCAAGAAATAGTAGACAACTTCACATACAGGAGCTAAAGACTAGGATAAAATAGAGACTAGCTTCTAGCCTCCGGTCATCAGATTGCTCAGTAACGCATTCGCAACGCGCGGGAACCGACTGCTGGGGATTATCCCCTAGATTTGTCTTTCTGGAACTATTATCTCCCTTTGAGCGGGGATTTGTAACCGGACCTTGTCCGGTACAGATAATCCACGACGTCGTAATGTAAGTTACGTGTCTATCATAACCCCAAGGTTTAAATCTGCTTCCCCATCCGCCCGCGTTACAATGCCTATCCGACCCCGCAGTGTGGGTAGGCCGTCGCTTAGACACTAGATGCGGTATCGAATCAAGGCCAAATTTAGTAAAATTTGTAAAATTTGTAAAATTTGTGACATTGAATTGTTAATCCAGTGATTGCTTTATCTAGGTATTATGACATAATTCCAATAGTCGCCGTGAAGGCTGTGTATCATGAAATCGGATGTGAATGCGTGTTATATCACGAAAAATACAGCCATAGTCTATGAACATGGTGGATAATCCGCCAGGTGGGGCTCATATGCTTCTAGTCTTGAGTTGGGATATTCTTTTGCATGCCAAATTTTAGGGCTAGAGTATAACATAATTAACTATTGACCTCGGGGAAGCAGAGAACTTTCATGTACAGTCCCTATTTCCATCTTTCTCATTCCCTTCAGCACACCGCACACTTAGCTTTGGTCAATATGTCTATTATACATGATTATAATCGCATTGCAAATCTAAGAGACGCCCAAACAAAAGCGGAGGCCCTCTTCCGCCATATTGAACGACGCATCATTCGAGTTGGTATCAGCGAGAAAGTCTTGAGCCGCGAAGTGTACGATTTTGGCGAAAGGGAATTTGGAATCAAGAAGTATTGGCACAAACGCATTGTCAGGAGCGGGCCTAACACTCTCCTGCCGTATGCCGATAGTCCACCGGACCGAATCATTCAAGAAGACGACATACTGATCGTTGACCTGGGACCTGTCTTTGAATCCTATGAAGCCGACTTCGCACGAACCTTCGTTTTAGGAAATGACCCGCTAAAGATAAAGCTCCGAGATGATCTTGAGCCTATCTGGAGTACGGTTCGCGAATATTTCCTCGAGAATATACACATCTCGGGCGAGCAGTTGTACACAGTCGCCGTCAGAGAGGCGACCAGGAGAGGTTGGGAATTTGGTGCCCCTCTTGCCGGCCATTTAATTGGCAATTTCCCACACGAGAGGATCCCCAAGGATCAAATCAACCTTTACATTACCGAAGGAAATGATAGACCTATGAACAGTCTGGGGGCAGATGGTCATAGGCGTCACTGGATCCTTGAGATCTACCTCCATGATCATGAACATAAGATTGGAGGCTTTTTCGAGCAGCTTCTGACAGACGATGATCGATACGTTTTCTCGGAGCTGCCCTCGGTGAATTTTCGGCAATTGAACGCTCTATCTGTTGTGTATCATGCTGGGCTCTTGATTTTATGTCTCGCGGTGATATTACTTGCGGTATACATGTCGAAAGTTTTGAATGGGAAAATCAGTGTTTTATATTGATGTTCTTTTGTCTCCAGCTGTGACTGTGTGGTAGTGGTTAAGAATCAATCATGTTGGGAACCACTTCTATGTTACTACCCTTTTAAAATAGCAGTATACATGGGCTGTACGCTCTAGCCATACCAGTAAAAGGGCTGTTCTATACGGTAACAATATGTGCAGAGATGGGAATCAGGCCTAAATCAGGCATTCAGCATCATTGTACAAATTGAGGGAACCCATTTGGAAGGATAGGCGCTACAAGAGTCAAACATATGTAGGCCTGTGTGTAGAGGTCTGTCAGACTCGCTGAATTCAGACTCTAGCTAGGTGTGGGTCAAGGTAAAACGGGAAATAACTCTACGGCCGACATCGAGGCTATGGTACTAGATTTATGACGTTAACTCGTTCTTGAAATATACTAATGGCGTTGGTCTCCAAGGCTGTATGAGCACGTTTGTTCACGTACCGGAACCTCCCCGGATCACACTTGACTGTCCACCCCAGGCTTCCAAGCTTTTTACCTTACCGGAGGTTGCGGAGCTATACCCACTGTCGCCCTTGGAAAAGGTAAGGCACAGATGTCAGATCACATTGTTGATAAACTTTTGGTGGTAGGTCGTGAGGGTTCTCGAGTTATAATTGCATGTCAAGGCATGATAGACCTCACCTACTACTTCTAAAAAGGCGGTAATGGGAGGAGAAACGGGACATTTCTTTCCCAAGGGTCTAAGATTTCTTGTTTTGCAACATGTCTACCGCATAGAAGAGACTCATCTCAATTATCCAACTACAGCTGACCACGTCAGTCTCTTGTCATTCTCGAACCTCGCAGCATTTTTCGGAGACCAACATGCCAAGAAAGGTATTGCTAACGCCTTCAGTAGGTCTTTAGCACAGCCTGGTAAGGTTTACTTGGTCTTCACTCACCAGGGCACTAGACTCTAAGCTATGTCTGCTTCCCCGCTTGCTTTACCCCGGATGTTCTCCGTAATCGGCGTCCATTCGAACATGGCAGACCATATTCCAAGACTACCACCGCTGCTCCGCGAAGCAACCCAACACATAAATATCCCCCAGACTCTTACCTCCAAGCTTAGAATTTCCTCATTCTACCTTGACAGGGTGCAGTGAACCAATGTCTCAATCTACAGATCTTTGCAAAGCTGAAGCTTCTCACCATGAACATAATATTGAGCTCGGCGAAATCGACCCGGGGGCAGAGAAACGACTAGTACGGAAAATTGACCTATTTTTAATGCCTTCGGTGTTCATCCTATATATTTTATCATACATGGTGGGACACACACCTCACCCTGATACTGGAGAAGTCTAAACATATTAGGATCGTTCCAATATCGGCCTTGCGAAGATAGCCGGTATGGAAGAAGACTTGGAACTGAGCTCAAACCAATACTATATAGCTGTGGTTGTCTGGGTGATCGGTTATACCGCCGCGGCAGTTCCATCTAAGTGCGCACCTCCCCTTTATGCTAATCTATGGCATGAATTTAACAGCTAATGAACCCTTGATTTCACAGTATGATTTTATCCAGAACTCGGCCGTCATACTTCATCCCCATCATCACCTTTGGATGGGGTACGGTAGCAGCCTTACTGGGAGTTGTGTCTAACAGCACCCAACTGACTGTTTTACGATTGCTTCTGGGAATTTTTGAGGGCGGGTTTAGTGTGCGTACTCGGCATAACGCCTAAATATAGCCTTTGTCAATTTGTGACCTCAGCTGACTTTAAGATGATAAAGCCAGCAGTAATTTTCCTGATATCGATATGGTATCGAAAGTGTGAACAGTAAGGCCAAAAATGTCGCGTTTCAAAGTTCTATTCAATCTAATCTCAAAAATATAGGTCGAAGCGGTTTATTATTTTCCTTTCTGCCGGTATTTTATCTGGCGCCTTTGGGGGTGTCGTTTCGGGGTCTATAACTTCGACGTTGGATGGTGTTCATGGGATTCAAGGATGGAGATGGCTATTCATCGTTGAAGGTATCACCACAGTCGGAGTAAGCGTTCTTTCGCATTGGACCTTACTTGACTACCCACATAATAGTCGAGGACTAAACCAGGCAGAGCGTGATCTTGCACAGAGACGAATGCTTCATGACGGGATAGCAGAGACGCACGCCAATTCGGAAACGCCAACCACAAGAACTTCTGTGTTCATTTGCTTGCTAGAAGCACTGTCCAACTGGAGGACCTGGCTTCTTGTTCCCGGGTATATGTCCATTCTTGGTGCATTAGCTTTGTCATACTTTTACCCGACGTTGGTTGAAGGCATGGGGTATTCTTCAACAAACGCCCAATACATGACCGCTCCGCTTTATCTTGTTTCGCCTTTTGTCGCAGTGCCAGTCTGCTACTTTGCCGATCGCAAGCCTCATTTGAGAGGTACCATTCTGGTGCTGAATTTGATAGTGGGCATGGTATTTTTCGCATTGACGGCAGCTATTCAACACTACACAGCAAGGTATATCTTCCTTTGTGTCACAAATATTACAATATGGACTGGAAATGCTCTCGCTCTTTCCTTTGCGACTACTGCGCTGGCATCGGTTAATCAAGACGTGAGGGCAATAATGTTAGCCACGATGAATGGATTTGGAGCACTCGCTCAGCTGTATGGTAGTGCCTTATTTCCAGAGAAAGATGGGCCTCAATACGTTGTTGCATTTTCTGTCTTCGCTGGAACTTTTGCCGCCGGAGCAATATTTTATGGATTGGCAGATACGTTATTTAAACGATATCCATAGCTGCGAGGACGTTGAGCTCAAAATATATGCCGTTTGCTTTCCCCTCATCGCTGAGAACATGTTACATCTTCCAATCAAGACTGAAGACTGGCGGAATACAGACATGAGGGTTATATATGGCAATCTTAGTTCCGGGATAGCCTTCCGTCGAGATCCTCTAATTCCCGTCTTGTTATCCAGCGAAAAATGGACGATATTAGAAGAAATTCAATAGTTCCTAGCCAAACTCATACAGATACAGATCAAATGATATGTCTCCCGTTGCACTTTTTTCTCGTAATAGCATTTAGAATTTAATCCAGGTCCGGCACTGGCAGCCCATTGACAATCTTGACCTTCCGACCCAGCTTATCCAGCGCAACCTTGGAGTTGTGCGCACGCAACTTGCTCGTCTCTTCGTCGGACACCAGCACAAAATCATATGTGAGGAGAGGATGGCCTTCAGGGACGTTATATTTCTTCGCGATTTCGGCGTCAGCCTTACCAATGTCCACAGTCAAGGAATCCTTGACACCAAAGACGGCATCGGATGTTTCGTAAGGGTCGTTGCGGAGGTAGAGAGCACTATAACTCAAGTTAGCATGATATACTTCACAATCCGCCAGATGAATGGGGAAAATAATTCCCAAAACATACGTAATCAGATGATCATAACCCTCCTTCTCAAACATAAAATGCATATGCGAAGGCCGATACGGATGCCGATGCAACTTCTCCAACAACTTCCCAACAGGCCCATCATGAGGAATCGGATACGGCACAGGCGTAATAGCCTTAAACCAAAAGACACCGGTATGATCCGAGCGCATAATACACCTCCCATCCGGACCCTGTCTCCCCGCATACTGAACATCATAATGTCCCGACGAATCCGTCTCCCAGATATCAATCTTGACATCCTCGACCGGCAACCCCTGCATATCCCGCAGCGTGCAAACAACAAGCAGTGGCTCGCCTTTCGGATCATGCGACATGGAATCGCCAGCGGGCATTTCCTCCGCGTCGTGCGTGTGGAATGGACCAAGTACTGTCCCCTCTGTGGATCCCTTGGGCTTTGGGTGGTCGATTGAGTCGACTAGGATAGATAGACCCAGGACATCGGATAGTAGGATGAATTCCTGTCGCACGTCTGTGCAGATCTGGCCTACTTCTGTCAGGAAACGGAGACCGGTCATCCATTCATCGCTGGATAGACGGGTTTCGCGGGCGAAGTCGTGGAGGTGGGTTACTAGGCGTTCGAGGATGTATTTCATGCGTTCGTCTTCGCAGAGACTGTTGATCGTGATTACATTGTCGGTGATGTTGTCCACTGTTTGGTCTTTCATTGGTGGAATCTTGACTTTGGAAGGATCCATTGTGGGCTGTACCTAGGTAGGTTTTATAGTTTGTATAGGAAGAGAATAGGGAGATAGTAATAAACAATTTCGAGCTACATAGAAAATCCGGGGTCAAGGTGTTTATTATATGTTATAGGAATTGGAGGTTTTGTTTTGCTCGTTCAATCAGAAGATCCCGAATTCAAACCCTTTCACCCCGCAACCCCCACTAATCCCCCCGTTCGGATGTAAGATTGGATTTATATGCCGGGAATGAGATATCTTCAGGGCAGAGAATATATCCGGATATACTAATAGTACTAAAGAATATCTATTAACTTTTCCAATATCAAGATACGTTAGTAGAAGTACCTAGACATACTAGACATACTAGACATCCAAGAAAAGCAATGACATGCGAAGACAGTGAAATCTTGCTTGTTGGATAGAGGTCGACGAGGGTATGTATTTACAAAAGGTCGACAGAAGGTGAGAGATATTTGGATGGAAGAAGCCAAAAAAAAATAAGAAATAACGCTAATCACAGGGATATCTAACATAGTACTCCCACACCCAGCCCATTTTGCCAACGGCTATGTAAAAAAACACAAAAGAAAGTCTGTACACGAATCAATAGAAGAGCCGATAACTTTATGCATGCACCATACGCCGATCACGATCAGCCTCCCGCTCCCGTTCACGATCACGTTCTCGGTCATAAGCACCATCACCAGAAGCCGGAGCCTGGTTTGGAGCCGGAAGAATAATAGCTTGGTGTTCGCCAGCACGCTCCACACCACGCTCCCTCTCTTGCACAGCAGCAGCAACACGAGTGTGATGATCTACAGTATCCGAAATAGCCTGTTTGAGCCGCTGATTAGCATCGGGATCCTCATCTTCAAAGCGATCCACGACATGAGCGAGGACACGAGGACGGCCTCTATTCTCTGTCTCACTCACAGCCCGTCGCGGCGAAGTATTACTCGAAGGAAGCTCCATCGGAATCCTAGACCCAGGAGCCGGGTTCGGGGCGGAGGGGGCCGACTCGCGCCGGTTGTGGTAGTAGTAGGCGTGCCTTTCTGGCTCGAAGGGCGGTTCTGGCCGATGTTCACGCTCGGCGGAGATCGGGGGCAGTGGTCCCATACCGTACTGGGGTGGAGTGAGGGTTGAGGTGGAGCGGTCGTTTTCCGGGCGCTCGTGGGGTGTGGTTGATGTGGTGATTCCCGCCCGCATCGCTGTGACTTCGTCTTCTTTGACGTCGCGCCAGGAGCACTTGGCATGTTTCTTTGTGCAGCCAACGCAGGCTGTGAGGTTCTTAAGACAGTCCATGTGGAGGCGGCGGCAGCGGTCGCAGGGTGGAATTACGCGCTCGCCGCGCTGGAGCTCTTCCATTCGAGCTATCATTTCGAGCTTGAAGGGACCTCCGTCGTCTTTTTCTTGGTTGGTTGATTTTGGCGGCGGAAGGAGGGATGATGGGGTGTTTGGGATGGCGACTGCGGTCGCAGTTGCGGTTGGGGCTGTAGTGGTGGTTGGGGTTGCGGTTGCTGTCGCGGGGTTGTAGAGACTGTAGTCTGTTGGGTCGGAGCCACGAGGCCGAGGGAGTGGTTGAGGGTTGACTGGGGCTGCTGCGTCGTCATAGCCGCGGGCGTGGCGGTCAGCTGTTGTGAAAAACCTCTTCATCAAATCTGCACGGGTTGTTGGGGAGGCACCTTTGATCGATTGACCGTTGATCATGGTGACATTATCGGTAGATTGTGAGAACATGAATGGGGATGATAGAGGGTTCTCCTCAGTGTGCTCGCCCTCTGGACGATGAGCGTTGACAGCGACGAAACCAGACGGAGAAGGGTGAGATGATGCATGGCCGTTGCCTTGGCCATGACCGTTGGCATCGCGCCAGATTTCGGTGACATTTCGGGATTGCCCATATAGTGAAGCATCGTTCTCTCGTCGGGTGACAATAGCGTTGCGGCGATTCTTCAAACGATGGTTAAGCTGTCTCGCTCGAGCAGAGACTGGACACACAAATATTGTTAGTGAATACGTTATAAGCTGAGATGTGTATATAACGATTGCTCACCTTGATCAGCCATCTGGATTATGTGATGCAAGTTCTTCTCAAGAATCTCCAGCGCGCCCAGTTCCTTTTCCTCATCTTCGATGATAGGCTGGGGCGGGATCATCTTCTGCGGCATGCCGGACGCAATCAAAACGAAATCCTCCTCGCTGATCTCCACGCGACACTGTTTGGTGTAGAACTGGCAGACTCGCACGCCGTTGCGCGACTTCTCCAGATTGAACTGTTCGGGCTTATTCTTTGCGAATTCGACCACATCGAGCCAAGTCACCGTAGGTCCATCTTTGCCATGGGATTTCAACACTTGCGGCGGTCCGTCGAACAGACGCTCGAATCGCTTGATCAAGATCGGACCGAGCGGACATGCGCCCAGATTTCCAGCGATGCTCTCGTGACGGTGTAGAACGCCGTCGTACTCACCGAGGAGATGGACAATCGCGGGCATGGTATCATCGACGGAGACGAGTGGTAGGTTGTCAGGGTATTGCCGTGCCAGATAGTTGATCTGCAGGTGGTTCGAGTGCGTCTTGGGCATTTTTGACATGCCGTGATCGGCGGCGGAGGGAGACCTCGGCCGCTTGTGGGACGACTCCGCCGTTGGGGAGTGGGATTCCATCGTGGGTGGGAGTGGGAACAGACCCGAATACACCCTGGAGCTGGTTTGGAATATGGGAAAGAGATTGGAGATTGGGGAAGAGAGGAAGAGAGGAAGTCGCCGAGAGTTAGATAAGAGCGCGAAGTATAAAACTTGCGCGGAGATGAACCTGACTTGCGCGGAGGAAACCGGCAGGTAACTCCTTTAATAAGACTCAATCAACATCCATATGTTGTAGAAGAAATGAAAGGAGAGGAAGCGGTAGGGCTACAGAGGGACGGAACAGCGCACGGGGAGTGGAGAGGAAAAACGTGATCTGGGTTTCCGTTGGGGGGTGCCGGGCACTCGGAGGGTCTCACTATGTCGTATTTGTTTTATTTTGTTTTGTTTTATTATTTGTTTCTCGTTTATTATATTGACGAATAGTGTCACAGGAATTCCGATTGCAACTTGCGCAATGTGAGGAACTTTTCCAAAGTACCGTACCTTGTCACCTTGAAGCCCTCAGCGGAGTCCCGCCGGGGGGTTCCGCTGCCCTACGATACGCTGATCAATCAGGTGTACAACAGGTACGCCTTGCCTTTAGTCTCACATTTGCTGTGAAAGATAAGTCTACATAATCACCCAGACCCCGAACTCATTCTATAGGTTCATATCTATTGTTCCATCGCCAAAAATAAGCCTTGAGCCTTGTGGAGATGGTCTTTTCGCTGATGCCTGAACGGGCCAGCGGGCTGAAACATTTTCGTCCCGGGAACTCGGAGGGAATCACAATCACAATACTCACAATAATCACCTGGACTGAGATCAGATTACTTGAAAAAAAAAACATCAGTAAAGAGATACACAAATAATGTATATAGATATACTCCATACATAAAGTAACATTGAATTGAGAAAGGAATGTCAAAAAGCACACAGTTGATGTTCGAATATTCAGATCGGAGATAAAGGCACTGGTAATCGACTTGTAAATTACTTCTGAGCGGGATCCGTTGTAGCTATAAACTACAATAATACAGTGGTAATTGGTAATCTCCATACCGGCCTTGACAGGCGGACTCCCAAGTTCCACCATGCCTGAGTGCCTGAGGCCACTCCCCACCTAAAAATCCCTCATATACGCGCCCACCTTGCTTGTACCTTCCGCTATCCCCCCAATACACAAGAGATACCGAGATACCCGTCTGTATCTCTCAGACCCAATCTTATTACCATCTAATCCCTTCCTGCATTTTTCTAAATCCCTCAATTTACACAGCCATGTCTGAACGAGGCTCATTCCGAGGTGGCCGCGGTCGTGGAGGCCGTGGCGGCCAGGGCCAGCAGAAAAGTGGCGGTGGTGGCAGTGCACAGGAGAAGCCCAAAAAGGAAAACATCTTGGATCTCAACAAGTACATGGACAAGGAGGTTCAAGTGAAGTTCAATGGTGGTCGTGAGGGTATGTTGGTTGATTTATTCGCATACATCCCTTTTTATTTTTATTTTTGCTTTTTATTTTTCTTATCTTTGGGTCTTTAATGACTTCTCGTCGCCATCTATGAACTATATATGCTAACTAATAACAGTCGCCGGTACCCTCAAGGGTTACGACCAGCTGATGAACCTGGTCCTTGACAACGTTAAGGAAACCATGCGTGGTGAGTTCCAATTTACTTGAATCAAATCTCTATATCTCTACTTCTTATATACTAACTTCCACAGATGAGGAGGGCAACACTACCACCCGCTCAATGGGTCTCATCGTCGCCCGTGGCACTTTGATCGTACTGATCTCCCCCGCCGATGGCAGCGAGGAGATCCCCAACCCTTTCTTGCAAGCAGAAGAGTAAAAGAAAACCTCTATTTCTAACGTATTATCTTCTCTCCGGGTTTCATTTCATTCCGGATCTGGATGCCATTTCGGGAAATCGACATCCTGGATCCGGTTGGAGCTTCAAAACACTACACACCTTAATGTCCCCACTGGCTTTCGGCGTGCGCCGGAACATACGCTCATCAGTAGCTACGAAGGGAACGAACGCAATATGATGGTTTCGCTTTTTTTCTTTCCTGTCGACTTGGAATGTGCACGATAGGGCTGTCTACTGTTGTGCAATTCTATCTTTCTCGTCTCTCTTTTCTTTTCACGGAAGGAGATGATGAATTTGGGATCGGCTCATGATACATAGCGCCAAAACCAAATTAGGATATAACCAAAAAAAAAAAAATAATAACAAAGTCAACACGAAAAGCTATCCAAGCAAACTGCGTAGGTATCATAGATTATAAGCCAACATAACATATTCACATATTGTACTATCCTGTACACTCCCCTGATCATCGATCTACTGGCCCACTTCCCCAGATGTGGGCCCAACCGTCTCTCCAAACTCGGCGGAGTCATCAGAATCATCATCACCAGGGCCATCAGTTGGCAAGGAAACCTGCCGCGGCTGTGCATCCTTCAGCCTTCTAACACCCTCTGCCTCCTCGACCCAGGGCCCAACCTTCTCCATGCCATCGATATACTCGGCACCAATGCGCAGATTCAAACCCGCGCTAAGGGCACGCTCAATGCGGGTCTCGCGGGACTGCGACACAAGGGTTCGGAAAACGTGCACGAAGAAGCCGCCGAGAATATCAACGCTCCAGTCCTCCGGAACAAGATCGAGGACTTCGCGGACGTCGAACCATGCTGCAAAGCGCCCAAGGAGATCGCTTGTACGCTCGATGCGGTCGGACAGGTCCTCGATGTGCAGGAATTCGTCGAGCAGGTGGCGGAAGAGCGTTGTTTGTAGGGTATAGTCTGCGAGTTCTGGCGGGGTGCCTGTTGAAGAGGAAGAAGAGCTACGTGGGCCGCCGAAGAGACAATAGCGGATTGCGGAGTCGTAGTCGCCTAACCCGTGTGTGAGGAGACGGAGGGCCGGGCCGTGGTGGCCCTGTAGGCCATCGAGGATAATGCATTCTGAGACTAGCTCATTCTGAAATGGCTCGATGCGGGTGAGGACGTTAGGGATTGAATAGCTGATTCCTGTCGGGAGGGGTTGGGAGCTGAACTGGGAGCTGGAGATGCCACCCAGCAGCTGAAGTAATCGGAGTCGGGACTGCCACCAGGGCTCTGTGGGGGTGTTCTCAATTATAAAGTTTAAGTATGTCGGTTTGGGGGCACGCAGGGCTCGGTAGGTTGAGTAGGAGTCGGCCAAAGAAGTTCGTGCCTCGGGGGATGACTCGAGCACAGAGAGTACCGTGTCTAAGTAGTATGAAATCAGGTCGTCGGCATATTGTGTGTACTATATTCACAGGTTAGTTAGATGTGTTCATGGAATAATAAGGTAACAGGACATCTCACATTCTTCGCAAATACCAGGTGTTCTAGGTAGACCTGGACTGCGTTTGGAGCTCGCTCCTTGAGTAAAGCAACAACATCCGCCGGTTCCAGTCTAACACGGCTGGCATTGTCTGCGAATACCTGGATGCCCAGACTGGGATTCCGCTCAGCCAGCCAAGAGCCATACTCTTCAACCAGCTGCACGTCCTTGATCTTGACCAAGTACCTGCGCATCTGCGTCTCCACGCCATTCGCGGAGACCTCACCCCCAGCGTCAGTCTCCCCATCGACGATTCGTCGCCAGGTTTTGAGAACGTTTCGAGACATCTTTTGGCTTTGATACAAACGGCTTAGTACATAGAGCCGCTTGTATGTTTCCAGGAGCATCACTGCTCGGTCGAAATTGCCTTTCCAATTGTCGACCAATCTATTCAACTCAGGGCGAACTGGCGACGCTACTCGCTGATCTCGCGTCAGATAGGCATCTTGTTCCAAGGTCAGGTGCAACAGCGCGGCATCTGTGCTATCCAAAACATATGTCTCATCGGTGATACTACCATATCCACGCTTCTGCTGCCAGGAAAGAAGGAACCGTTTCACCATGTTGAGAACAGGGCTGCGAGAAGCATCCAATCCAGAGGATTGAACGCCTATCTTTCCGACCTGTTCAATATATTTTTCCGCCATGCTTGCCAGCCCAGCGTGTATCCATATACCCTGAGGCCCTTGCAAAACCTCACATCGCAACAGAGGAATAAAGAGCAATGCCAAACGCGGGTCGAGGTTACCTGCCAATAGCGCTTTTTCGGTGCCATCGATTGCTGCGGCATTGTGGTCGTCTGGCAGCATGGAGAGCAGGTCACCATAAAGCATAAGGCTGGCCTTTTGTTTCACGTAGCTCAATCCAATGAATTCAGCTTCGGTCTTTGGCTCGGTGTCCTGGACGGAGAGCAGCAGATCTAGAATGGCATCCCTACGCAGCACAGTGTGCTCGCTCTCTTCCGTCTCCTGGGCCCTCTGCAAGGTATCCTCGAGCTGGACGATCAATGGATTCTGTAATACGCGCCATATTTGAGATCCACGCCACATGACAAGACCGCTTTGGACCTTTCCCAGTCCATGTGCAAATCTTGCTTCTTCTGCATCACGCTGAGCCTCCCAGCCCTGGATGGCTGAACCGTCGTTCTTCTTGGATCCCTCCGAGTCGGTCATTTCTGGTAAATCGAACAGCTCTTTCTCCTTCTGAGAGTGCTCGATGGATGCCTGTGTTCTTGAATCTGCTACTGACACATGCGGAGGCAGCGTGGGATTTTTGAGGCGGACCATCCGCAAAAGCTGCCCAATTTCATTGAGCTCAAGATGGCTAGGGCTGAGTGTGTGGCGCAGGCCAACTTGAGTAGATTGTGTCTCTCCGGGAGATGGGATCTCTAACCACCTCTTGGTCCGCTCAGTCTCCCCTGGGTCGTCGTCCCAACGTTGGATTTCGAGTCTTGTTCGAGACTTTCCTGCTTCTTCGTCTTCGATTACAGCGAGAACAAACTCCTCTCTAGCGTCTCCACTGGTCTGGAACATTTCATCATTCCTGTTTGTATCAATCACAACAGACTTTGGAAATCTGTGGAAGTTAATTGTACCCCGAACAACTTCACCGTCCATGTCAACAAACATCCCAACGCCCGGTTCTGTTTCCTCAGTTCCGGTTACAAGTAAA